CTAGATGGAAGCTCTAGAAGACCATGAGCTGAATTGTTGCGTATTGCACTTACAGAATTTATATGCACAATAATAATAGCAGAAAATGCTGGAGAAACTCAGGACTAGCAGCCCCTGGAGAAAGAAACCAAGTTATGCTTAGAATATGATATGACTCAATAAAATATAAATCTGAAATTTGAAAAGTAGAATAAGTGAAGAAATGAATGGCCTAAAATCCTGGAAGTGCTCAGTAGGTCAGGCTGCAATCTTTAGAAAAAGAGATAAAGTTAATACTACAAGTCAATGACCTTTCATTAGGATTGGAAAAAGCAGGCAAATGGGGTTGTCAGAAGAGATTCAAAGACAAAGGAGTGATGGGGCAAGGCTCATGGAGACAAAAATAGGGCAAAGAACAATTGTTGATTTTAGAGAGTTAAACATCTGCCCTTTTACCTCTCTTCCCATTGTCCATGACCTTAGACTTCTTCCTGGTGAGAATAAGTTATTTGTTTTGACCAGTGTGGAAACCATTTACCAATTGGAGACTCTTTTGATTACTGTACCCCCATTCAGTCATCGGTTTTGGCCCTAGTTTCCGGTTGCCTGTCATTTTGATTCTCGGACCTACCCTCATTCTGACTTCTATCCTCGACTTCATAGTCACTGGAGAAACAGTTGGGCAACTTTTGGTTAGCCTTCCAGATTCGAGTTCAATAATTTTCGGCCATAATCACTGCCCTGTTTATCTAGACAGCAAGTGCTGATTATAATTATGCTGTTGCCAATCACCTCTCTGGACCTTTTTTTTTGTTTATTTGCTATTTCATTGTCCTATCATTTAATCTCTGCTTTAAATGTGGGGAGGTGATGGCCTAGTGGTATTATCGTTGGACTGTTAATTCCAAGACTGAGGTAATTCCAAGTCCTGGGGAAATAAAAACCAAAAGAACTGCGGATGCTGTAAATCAGGAACAAAAACAAAGTTGCTGGAAAAGCTCAGCAGGTCTGGCAGCATCTGTGAAGGAAAAAAACAGTGTTAACGTTTCGGGTCCGGTGACCCTTCCTCAGTTCTGAGAAAAGGTCACCGGATCCGTAATGTTAACTCTGTTTTCTCCTTCACAGACGCTGCCAGACCTGCTGAGCTTTTCCAGCAACTTTGTTAATGTCCTGGGGACTCCGGTTCAAATCTTGAGAGATGGTAGGAACTGCTGATGCTGGAGAATCTGAGATAACAAGGTGTAGAGCTGGATGAACACAGCAGGCCAAGCAGCATCAGAGGAGCAGGAAAGCTGACATTTCGGGTCCGAACCCTTCTTCAGAAATGGGGGACGGGAAGGGGATTCTGAAATAAATAGAGAGAGAGGGGGAGGCGGATGGAAGGTGGATAAAGGAGCAGATAGGTGGAGAGGAGACGGACAGGTCAAGGAGGTGGGGATGGAGCCAGTAAAGGTGAGTGCAGGTGGGGAGTTAGGGTGGAGGTTGGTCGGTCAAGGCGGCAGGGATGAGGCTGGTAGGTAGGGGGTGGGGGTTGGTCAGTGAGGTGAGAGGAGCAGATAGGTGGGAGAAAAGACGGGCGGGTTAGGGTGGCGGGGACAGGCTGGGCTGGTTTTGGGATGAGGTCGGGTGTGGGGAGATTTTGAAGCTTGTGAAATCCACATTGAGACCGTTGGGCTGCAGTGTTCCCAAGTGGAATATGAGGTGCTGTTCTTGCAACCTTCGGGTGGCATCATTGTGGCACTAGAGGAGGCCCAGGATGGACATGTCGTCCAAGGAGTGGGAGGGGGAGTTGAAGTGGTTCACGTATGGGAGGTGCAGTCATTTGTCACGAACCGAGCATAGGTGTTCCACAAAGCGGTTTCTAAGCCACCGCTTGGTTTCCCCGATGTAGAGGAGGCCATATCAGGAACAGAGGATACAATATGTTACATTAGCAGATGTGCAGGTGAACGTCTGTTTAATGTGGAAGGTTTTCTTGGGGCCTTGGATGGGGGTGAGGGGGGAGGTGTAGGGGCAGGTGTAGCACTACCTGCGATTGCAGGGAAAAGTGCCGGGGGTGGTGGGGCTTGTGGGGATTGTGGAGCGGACAAGGGAGTCACTGAGAGAGTGGTCCTTCCAGAATGCAGATAAGAATGGGGAGGGAAAAAATGTCCTTGGTAGTGTGGTCAGATCACAGGTGGCAGAAGTGGGCGCAGGATGATGCGTTGAATCCGGAGGTTGGTGGGGTGGTACGTGAGGATGAGGGGATTCAGTTTTGGTTGTTATTGTGGGGAGGGGGTGTGAGGGATGAGTTGAGGGAAATGCGAGAGACACAGTCGAGGGCGTTTTCGACCACTGTGGAGGGGAAGTTGCGGTCCTTGAAAAACGAGGACATCTGGGATGTCCGGGAATATGGAATGCCTCATCTTGGGAGCAGATGTGGCGGAGGCGAAGGAATTGGGAATAGGGGATGGCCTTCTTGCAGGAAGGTGGGTGAGAGGAGGTGTATTCTAGGTAACTGTGGGAGTCGGTAGGCTTGAAAAAGATATCGGTTTCCAGGTGGTTGCCAGAGATGGAAACAGAGGTCCAGGAAGGAGAGAGAGGTATCAGAGATGGTCCAGGTTAACTTAAGGTTGGGGAGGAAGGTGTTAGTAAAGTGGATGAAGTTAGTTAAGTTGCATTTCCTGCAACTCCTCCCTCACACCCCCTCCCCGCAATAACAACAAAAACAGAATCCCCCTCGTCCCCGCCTCCTTGACCTGTCCATCTTTTCTCCCACCTATCCGCTCCTCTCACCTCACTAACCAACTCTTACCTACCAGCCTCATCCCCGCCTCCTTGACCTGTCCATCTTCCCTTGACTGACCAACCCCCATCCTAACTCTCCACCTGCACTCACCTTTACTGGCTCCATCCCCGCCTCCTTGACCTGTCCGTCTCCTCTCCACCTTTCTGCTCCTTTTATCCACCTTCCATCCGCCTTCCCCCCTCTCTCTCTCTATTTCAGAATCCCCTTCCCCTCACCCTTTTCTGAAGAAGTGTCCAGACCCGAAATGTCAGCTTTCCTGCTCCTCTGATGCTTGGCCTGCTGTGTTCATCCAGGTCTACACCTTGTTATCTTGGGTTCAAATCTTGCTATGGCTGATGGTGGAATTTGAATTCAATTAACTGCTGGAATTAAGAGTCTGAAGATGACTATTGTCAATTGTTGGAAAACCCCACCTGCTTCACAAATGTCCTAATGGGATGAAACTGCCATCATTAAGTGGTCTGGCCTACATTTGACTCCAGACCCATAGCAATGTAATTGGCTGTTAACTGCCCTCTGGGCAATTAGGGATGGGCAATAAATGCTGGCCTAGCCAGTGATATCCTCATCCCTTGAATGAAATTTTTAAAAAACTAGAACAGACCAACTGTTGCCAATTGCTATCCTTTTCTGCTTGCTTAAAACCTTTTATGTCTCCTCTTTACAGTTCTAATGAAAGATCATCAACCTGAAATATTAATTCTCTTTCTGTCTCCACAGATATCTAATCTGCTGAGAATTTCCAGCGTGTTTCATTTTATTTCTGATTTCCAACCTCCTCAGCATTTTGATTTTAAACTAATGTATATTGTGACAACAAATGGTGGCAGAACCAGTTGGGCCACATTTTTCAAAAAGTTGCCTCCTCTTCTGTGAGGCAATTGTAATTAGAGATTTCTGAACCATTAGGAGAACTGAAAAACAAACGGTGGCTGAAATTTAGTGCACCATCATTGCTTTATTCGTCAAACAAATCTCAACGTTCAGTACTATAGGAAACAAAAGTTACAGTCAGCACAAAATATATCTTAGCACTACATTTTTACATATAAATACTTAGTTAAATTTTAATGAGGTGTCTGTTTTATAAACACAGCCTGGGAAACTCCCAATCTATTAACCAGACCGGCCTAAATATTAGCTCCAAACCGAGGGCACATTTAAAGTCCTCGGGGAAAAAAAAAAATAGGCTCATAGCCTCAACATAAAATCCGAGGAAGTAATAAGTGGGAGGGTGAAAGACATGTGAATCATTTCAACATTGATTTCACTATAAAGCCTGGAATCAGTGCCATTAAGCCCATCAAGCTGACTTCATGAGTTGTTAGTAAACATCAATGTTTGGTGTTTTCAATTCCATTGCACCCCTTCAACTAGGATTATCTAATAAAGTGCACACACAGTGAAGTGTTCATTTTTCAATGATGGGCACTAAATCCTCAGATCCTTACATAACGTAATTCCAAAGTCCAGTACCTTCCTGCTGATCAAAGTTCCCAGTTTTTCAGATAAAACTGAAAGGAATGTAAACTGGAAGTTTATTTTGAGTGCACAAATGTTGAATTCCAGTTAATTCTTAAATCAATACAAGAATGTTCATTCCTCCAGAGCTCTTGTAGAGTGTTCTGCCAAGCACTTACTTTTGCTGGGGAAGTACAGATTAGAATTGGAAATTTTTTTTTTCAGGAGATTGTGGGAAAAACAAATTGTTTTTAGTTGAAGGATAAATAACAAAAGACATTTTGTAAAACCCAACCTAATTGGAATAAAAACAGAAATTGGTGGAGAAGCTTAGCAGGTCGGCAGCATCTGCGGAAAGAAATCTGAGTTAATGTTTCCGCTCCAGTGACCCTTCCTCAGGGCACTGGAGCCAAAATGTTAATTCTGGTTTCTGTCCACAGATGCTGCCAACCTGCGGAGCTTTTCCAGCAATTTCTGTTTTTTGCTTCTGATTTACAGTATCCGCCGTTCTTTCGGTTTTGACCTAATTGGAGACTGAAAACACAATAATTGTTCTAATACAAAACCACATACTGCAAATGCTGGAAATCTGAAATAAAATAAAAATTACTGGCAATACACAACAAGCAGGCAGTATATGGGGAGAGAGGGGTAGATTTAATGTTTCAAGTTAAAATGACTGTCAGAATGAATGATTCTAAGGTTGTCACTGGGGCTTTGTGTACAATTTATTTGGCAAACCCAAGTTTAAAATAAAATGTTTGTCTTTCAGCTACGTAGGAGATTGTGAAATTAATGTGGAGGTGAAGAAAGTATGTAAAGCTGGATTGAAGGGAATGCAGGTACGTGGGATATTTTGAAGTTGTTTCTTTCTAAATTACTTCACAAGTGGCCTGTTGTGATATTATTTCTGATCTGAAATTTAAAATTCATCTATAATGTTCAATCAGGAAATCTGTGACCTTTGGCACGATAGTACTTGTAACAAATAAGGGTGGCTCAGTGGTTAGCACTGCTACCTGACAGCACCAGGGACCTGGGTTCAATAAGGTTGTTGACTTTCTCACCAAGCTGGCTTGTTCTCATTCAGATGTTTTGTCACCATGCTGGTGACATCATCAGTGGAGCCTCCGATGAAGTGGTGTTATTCTACTCTGCTTGGAATTTATACTGAGATAGTAGGAACTGCAGATGCTGGAGAATCCGAGACAACAAGGTGCAGAGCTGGATGAACACAGTAGGCTAAGCAGCATCATAGGAGCAGAAAGGCTGATGTTTAGGGCTCTGCACCTTGTTGTCATGGAATTTATACTGTCTGGTCCGTTATGGTAAGTAGTGATCTGTATAGGTTTATATATGGAGTCCAATTCTATGTTTGTTGATTGCATTACGGGTGAAGAACCATGCCTGTAGGAATTCCAATACGGGTCTGTGTTTGGAACAAAAAAAAAGTTGCCGAAAATGCCCAGCAGGTCTGTGAAGAAAAAGTCAGTTAACGTTTCGGATCCGGTGACCCTCCAAACTATGTTTGGCTTGGGCTATTATGGTTACCTTGTCCCAGTAAAACTGACGTTATGGGAATGTGGTTTTGAATCCTAGTAAATGTTTGTCATAGAGTGGCTGTGGGCTACCATGCATTCCCACAACATGCAGAACCAACGTGGTTTACAAAATACCATGCAATGACTACCACAAACATTACATCGGACAGACAGGAAGGACACTAACCATCAGAATACATGAACATCAGCTAGCAGCAAAACGGCACGACAAACTCTCCTTAATATCGGTACACTCAGACAATGAAGGCCATCAGTTTAACTGGGACAAGGTAACCAAACATAGACATGCATGGGAATTCCTAGAGGCATGGTTCTCCATCCATACTTCAATCAACAAATGCATAGAATTGGACCCCATATATCAACCCATACAGATCAAAACCAGAAATGACACTACTCACCATAATGGACCAGGCAGTATAAATTCCAAGCGGAGTAGAACAACATTGCTTCATTGGAGGCCTCGCCAATGATGTCACCTAGCATGGTGACGAAATATCTGAACGAGAACAAGCCAGCTCGGCGAGCAAGCCAACAACCTCACCCACAACCCGAGCTACAGATCTTTGCCAAAGCTTTAAACCGGGGTTCGATTCCACCCTCAGGGACTGTCTGTGTGGAGTTTGCACGTTCTCCCCGTGTCTGCATGGGTTTCCTCCAGGTGCTCTGGTTTCCCTCCAAAGTGTGAAGACATGCAGATGAGGTGGATTGGCCATGTTCAATTGCCCATAGTGTCCAGGGATGTGAAGCTAAGTGGGTTAGCCATGGGAAATGCAGGGTTACTGGGATAGGGTGGATCAAGGTGGGATGCTCTTCAGAGTCGGTAGGCTGAATGACCTGCTTCCATACTGTAGGGATTCTATGATCTATGAAATTACAGAATTATATAAAGGTTTTATTCCCCACAATGCTGTTTTAACGATGTATGAGTTGGTAATCTATCTTTATGCTCCTTTTTCTCTTCTTCTGTTTCCATTTTACCTTTCATATAAGGCCCAGTCATGAAAGGACAGAAACATAGTCTTCGTTCTCTTAATTCTATCTTATAAATAGCCTCTAGAGAATACAGCGAATGGCAATGGCTACTCATTATCCAACTCTTTGACTTTTGGAAATATCTATCTTGTACCATTGGTCTTGCACTAACTGACAGTAAATACCAGTGTCCTTTCACCTGCACTGCGTTAAAATCTGTAATGGTCTACCCAACTGCATCTTCACCACCAGGACTGAATGGTTTAAGGCATGGGTTACAATTACCTTTCTGAACGAAATTGATAAACAACAAATGCTGGCTTTGCTGGTGATTCTCGCACACCAAGGACAAATATTGCCAAAAATGTCTCTTTGCTCATTCTTCAAAGTCTTTTCTGTTGTTCCTATCTTTATGTAGTTTCACTGTGCAAAATTATAGCAACCCTCGCATTCTTGGTAAATTTGCACATTTCCTGACTTCTTATTTTAAATATGCAAAAATAGAGTAATAAATGTATTAACATTAATGTGAGTAACTTCAGGAATTGGATAACTGTTGGCATCCACTATAGGCAATTGCAAAATAATTATACTTCCTTGCACAATCTATGGTAGCTGTAAACTTGACTGATTTGAACCTGAAGAGCAACACGTTGTAATTACCTCAGAGATAGTAGGAACTGCTGATGCTGGAGAATCTGAGATAACAAGGTGTAGAGCTGGATGAACACAGCAGGCCAGGCAGCATCAGAGGAGCAGGAAAGCTGACGTTTCGGGTCTGGACCCTTCTTCAGAAAGGCCCTTCTGAAGAAGGGTCCAGACCCGAAACGTCAGCTTTCCTGCTCCTCTGATGCTGCTTGGCCTGCTGTGTTCATCCAGCTGTACACCTTGTTATCTCAGATTGAAATTACCATTCACATTGTGAAGTTCTTTTAATCTCATGTTCCAGTGCTATCATCTTTAAATGGTGATGTGATTTGTTTGCCTATCTCCATCAAAACTTTCTCATGTTGACAATTAGAAAGTGTTGTGGCCCTTAAAGCTGATATTTGGTAACGGTTATGGTGTGTGCTTATACTACAGCTGCATGGTACACTCCGAGTGATCCTGGAGCCATTATCTAGTCAGATGCCCCTGGTTGGAGCTGTGACTTTGTTCTTCATTCGCCGACCAGTGAGTTTGTTTTTGCATTTTATTGCATTGTTTCACATTTTAATTTTCTCTCAGCTCCAAGAACAAAGAACTCTTGCTCATTTAAATACTGTTATGAGGCTCAGATTTTCAATATATTGGGCTTAGAAACCTTAGGTTCTACCCCCGAACATGGCATTTCCTGTTTCAGTGGTGGTGGGGTGAGTTTCATGGTCTGTGGAGGAAATTGGCCTTTTTAAATCATCAGTAGACTCCTTCCAAATCAGATTTTGACATCTTTTTTCAGTGTGCAACTCAGTGTGCAGATTAGATTTTCCCAAGCCAGGGATGTAGCTACGGTACCTCCTTGGATCTGGTCCTGGAACATATTTGGACCAAGGTCAAGTGACCTTCAGGCGAGATCAGGTGCCCTCCAGAACTGTTAAGTAGGTATCAATGTGGGTAAAAAGTGTGTAAACCCATTACTTTAAAACTCCTTGGACTTGTTAATAGACTATGAAAACTACTTGTTAGAGGTGTCTGTCCTATCTATAAAGGTATTTAAAATGGCTGCCCTTTAATTCTTTAGAAACAAAAGTCTAGAGTTTTGTTTTTAGAAACTTGTGTTTGCTATTTCACTCACCTCTTGACATAAGGCTTATAGTACTGGATTAATACTACATGACTGATTTCACAATGATCCTTTACCGCAGTAGGGCACCTTTCATATCATCAAGTGGTTATTGAATCTTTACTGTGGAATCACGAATTCCATTGCTCCTACAACTGAATGAAATACTTATTGTTTTATGGCTTTATTTAGTTGAAGAATTATATTTTTAAAAAAATTCAAAGTGGATTTGCTGAAAGAAAGCGTTTATCCCAATATAAAGTTTGCAATTGATACATCGAACTGTATTTATTTCAACTCGATATGGGTCATGAGGTCTACCTATGGTGGATGGTAGGTGTAGAGTGAAAGAACAATGGGGTTGAGCATTTAGAATTATAGAATTCTTACAGTATGGAAGCAGACCATTCAGCTCTTCGGGTCCACACTGACCGTCTGAAGAGCATCCCACCCAGACCCAACCCCCTACCCAATCTCTGTACCCCGGCATTTCCTATGGCTGATTCACCTAGCCGGCATATCCCTAGACACTGGGAAATTTAGCATGGCCATATTTGGCATGGATGTATAAAGTATTATGGGAGGATAGATAAAGGTGCATAGAAACATATAAAATAGGAGCAGAACCTGTTCCACCTTTCAATGGCTTGGCGTTAGTCCAGAGAGGGCATAGGGGCATGCTTTAGTATGACGTTAATGGGGTGGTTAGTGGCGATTTATGTAGATGTTAGTAAGGGGTAAGGATTGGGGAGGAGGAGGTGGAGGATGTTTCATGTTTTATTCTTCATTTCTAAGTTTTGCCAGATCCCCAAGGCAGGCCTTTATACCAGCCTACACCTCGGCTTCTAATGCAGCCTGCCCTTGCAAACCCAAACCGGCAGCCATTTTTAAAAGTTCAGATATGTGCAGCTGGAAATTGTTCCATCTCTGTGCTCCTGGCATGGGAGTAAATAAATCTTGGTCTAAGAGAAATTGTTCATTTAATACAAGATTCTTATTTTATGGATGCAAATCGTGGGAGCCAAGCAGTAGCCTCGTTCGTTGAGATAAATACATCCCCTAATCTGTAGAAGGGATAGTCCTTAGGGACAAGTGTTGGAAAATGGGATTAGAATAGTTAGATGCTGGTTTTTGACTGGCACAGACTCAATAGGCCAAAGGGACTTTTACTGTGCTGTAGACCTCTACAATGTGCGGCATTATTTGTCCCAACCAAGTGCATAAGGAGTTTGCATTGAGCTCATAACAGTACAGGAGTCCTGGGTTGTTCTGAACCTGTTTAGCAAGGACCATTCTTGTCATGGGAGTTCAAAACATGTCATCAAATAGATGGGATTTACAGAAAGAACAGGTTATAACTCCTGCGTATCCCATTCCTCAATCCAGTGGACATTTGCTGGCAGACCTTTGCTCAGCAACATTGTTGCATATGAGCACGTGATGGAAGATGAGCTGTAGGGTAGATTAAACAGATCTTCACGGAGTGACAAGTGAGGTGCTGCAAAGATGGTTTCAACCAGCTGTGGGTTGTTGGTGGATGTGAGGAGGACTGATGTTTGACAGGAAGCCAACAGAGAGGAGTTGAGCAGAGAACTCCAGTTATGCTGCACAGTATTATGTTCAGTTGAAAGTCAACAAGGTGTACGTGCAAGCATGTGTGTTGATCTTTGCCAAGTTGGTGCATGGTACCCTGCTCTGAAGTATGCTACGCAAGTGTTGAGGTTGAAAGTGTTGTGGCAGCAGCATCCCATGTGGATCCAACAAGTTTTTAGTCAGTTGTTTCTGGTCTTCATCCTTTGCTTCCTTTAGAAGGTCATGGATCAACAAAGTCCTGTCTAGAGTTACTCCCGAGTATTTTGTGTTGGGGTCATGATTTACTCCCTAACCATCCATGTAAATGTGCATTTCTTTTGGCATTTGCATTATGGAGGTGGAATACACTGGTTGTGGATTTTCAGGGATTCAGTGTGAGATTCTATATGCACGATAGTCCATCAAGTTTATAACCTCATTGTTAAGGATCTTGTCCAGGGTGTCGAAGGATGTAGATTTGAGGGCACAACTGATGTCATCAGCACAGATCAAATTACTGCATGTGGCTGATGGCATCTCGTTTGTTTACATGTTTGACAGTGCTTGCTGGCACTGAGGTCTGAGGTAGTCTATTGGCCTGCCTTTTCCAAGCATTTCTCCTTTGCCTAAGATGGATTCCAAATGTGGAGGGAGTGCTTTAAACCAAGATCATCTGTGGCATCTCTTGCAGAAGAATAACATCTTTGTCTCCCAAAAAAGAAGATAACCAAGTAAGAAAACAAGTGGGGGATTCAGCAACCATAATACTATTTGAACATCAAGGGAAGATGGTTAGATTCCATTGTGGGAAATAGTCATTGTCTGGCATTGAGTGACATATCTTGTGGTCTTAAGTAACAATCTATAGGAACAAAATTAGGCCATTTGACCCATCGAGTCTGCTCCAATCATTCAATGATGACTGATACTCTCAACCCCATTCTCCTGCCTTCTCCCTGTAACCCTTGATCCCCGTACTAATCAAGAACCTATTTATCTCTGTCTTAAACACACTCAATGACTTGGCCTCCACAACCTTTTGTGGCAGTGAGATCCACAGATTCACCACCCTCTGACTGAAAAAATTCCTCCTCCTCCTCTCACTTTGCCATTTATCAGCCCAAGCCTGAATGTTGTTCATATCTTGCCACTTGCAAGCAAATTTGATATTTAAAGGGACATTGTGCTTCAGGCATATTTCGTACTAATTTTCCAAAAGTGCCTGTCTTTTTTTGCTGGAAACTATCCAATCTTCCTCTTGGCACCTTTTCTAAATATTCATGACAGACCCAATAATATTGGCCTTTCCATAGAGAGCTCATCTGTTGGGAATTGAGAGGGGAGGGGCATAGGAAATCATACAATACACCAACAGCCAAGTTGGCCATTTTGTGCAGCATAACCATGTGACTCATTGCCTTTCCAAAGCGTGTGTACTTCAGGGCATCAAGTCAACAAATATTAAGACTTTTTAGTTGATGTTACTATTGTCAGACCCAGTAAAGGAGCACACAGTTAGAAGTTCCACAAAGGACATGAGGCCTGTCAAAGGTTATATTCTAGACCAGATAATTCTTCAGTAGCTTATCAGGGCAGTGTGCTAGACTGAACTAGCTTCAGCTGCTTCATCAATTATCTGCACTTCATTGTAGTTGGGAATGTTTGCCTTCAAAATTTAGAAAAAAATTGCAACGGTGATGTTGGTGGGTTGGGGGTGGGGGCAGGAATTTTGCATGTCTTAGCAAAGTAAACCCTTAAAAAGAGCCAAATATTTTCATTTCTTTAGAAGTATCCGCAATCTCAAACAAAATAACTAATTTTACATGGAAAATGGTGAATGCCAACTTAATTACCTGACAACAAATTTAATTTTAAAAAGATTCCCGCTTATCCTCCTGTGTTTTCATCATCTGACATCACATATTGCATTTTGCAATATTTTTTTATCCCAATTTGTGTCCCTTTCTGCATTTCTCAATACACTAGCCTTGGCTTTCATACATCTGACCCATTCTTTGATCTACAGTTGCAGTCCTGGTGTCCGTTGCTGCAACTTCCTCCTAAAATCCCATCCGGCTCTGTTTATTTTTTCTCTCTTCACCTTTCAAAAACTACCTTGCAATCCATCTCTTTGATCAGATTTTCATTCTCCTTTCCATCTCTCACCAAATTGTTTGGCAGCTTGCCCTTTTCATTTTTCCTTCTGTAAAACACTGTCCAGTGTTTTTCTGCTGAAGTTACGTAAGTGTAGGATATTTTTATTGATTCCCTAGTCTACGAAATTAAGTGATTGTTATTGAAATAACTCCACAGAGGCTGGTATCCTGTCACCAAGTCGCTCTTTATTTACACGTGCATAGTACTTGACACCGATCTGGCTTCCTCAGAGCCAGCTCTGAATGGACACGACCTCTGGTGTTCCTGTTCATATCTGCCAGCCAAGCCTGCCTGTTTGAACCAGGTTAACAGTCCTGATCAGAGAACTCATTCTATTAAGTCTACGTGGCTGACCTCATTACAATCACTACAATTGTTGCTTATAATAATGAGTTTTCATTCCAGTTGCAGTTGTAATTTTGCCTCCAGTTATTTCCAACAGCAGTTACTGCTTTGAAGTGGATCTTGACCTCATTTCTGCAGATATGCACATTTTGTGGCAGTTTATCTAATCAAATGTTTGGACTGTAAGGAGTTTATAAAGGATCACAAGATAGCGAGAGGAAAGTTCTTTAATAACTGAGAAAGGAGAATGGGGAAGGGGTCATCAAAGGGAACAGTTTAAGTGAGTAAGTTCTGTTGTCCTGAGTCTTGATGTCATAGAGTCACTTCACCTAACAAAGGAGCAGTGCTGTGAAAGCTTGTGATTTCAAATAAACCTGTTGGACCATAACCTGGCGTTGTGTGACTTCTGACCTGGTCCACCCCAATCCAACGCCGGCACCTCCACATCATGGTTACCATAGAGTCATAGAGTTGTACAGCAGGGAAACAGACCCTTTGGTCCAACTCGTCCATGCTGACCAGATATCCTAAATAAATCTAGTCCCATTTGCCAGAATTTGGCCCATATCCCTCTAAACCTTTCCTACGCGTAGACCCATCCAGATGCCTTTTAAATGTTATAATTGTACCAGCCTCCACAATTTCCTCTGGCAGCTCTTTCCATACACACACCACTCTCTGCATGAAAAAATTACCCCTTAGGTCCCTTTGAAATCTTTCCCCTCTCTTGTTAAACCTATGCCCTCTAGTTTGGACTCCCCCACTCTGGGGGGGAAAAAGACCTTGTATATTTGCCCTATCCATGCCCCTCATGATTTTATAAACCTCTATATGCTCAATCCTCAGCCTCCGACTCTCTGGAGAAAATAGCCCCAGTCTATTCAGCCTCTCCCTATAGCTCAGACCATCCAACCCTGGCAACATCCTTGTGAATCTTTTCTCAACCCTTTCAAGTTTCACAACATAATTCCTGTAGCAGTGACGCCTTGATTGCTCATGTTGTATGAATTTGTGGTCTAATGAAGGCAACCTACTCCTTCCTGTCAATATTGTCTTTGAGATTGGGAGGGGGAGAAAGCCAAACTGTGGGAGAAGGTGAAATGGTCTTGGAGAGTTCCTTCTAAACTTTGCAACAGGGTTCTATATTTGAGGCAACCTTTATGGCAGCCTATGAACAACTAAATTTGCTGATAATTGGATAGCTTGATAGCTTGATATCAAGCAGGTGAATTAGCTCCTAGGCTTTGGTCTGTTCCATGCCTGATTTGCATCTGAATGCAAAATCACTGAAAGAGCTTGACTACGTGGAAATCAACCTAGAATAAGCTATCCATGAAGTCCTTCAGAACCTACTGACTATGCAATCCAGATCCCTCAAATCTTGCTGATCTCCACAGATGCTTTGAGTGATGCTGGTTTTGATGACAAAAAGGAGGAAGCACAATCTCTGAACTGAAACCAGCATCACCAACAAAGGTCTGGTGAGTGATCTGACATTTAAAGCGTCCAAGGCTTCTACCTCTCACCAAAAGCGATGGACTATGTTCAAAAATTCTCTCCATGCAAGAACAGTACATGTCTTTTGTAAATAGGAAGTCAAGGACAGATCAGCATGGGATTATAGCCACACAACATCATCAACTCTTCACACGGTGAATGAATGTGGCCTACAAAACTTTGCTCCAAGCTTCAAGCTAATCCACTTAACACGGACCACTGTGACTTGTCTGGCTAACTAGATCTTTGGTGTTTTGTAGTTTTATGTCCTATACGAGAAACAAACTGCTTTCCATAACAACCTTAAAAAGTGCACCATCATCTTTCAGGAAAATATTATTTTTCTAGCCTAAAAATGTTTGAAGTGTAAGTTGAGTATCATTGTACAGAAGAAGTTCCCTTCAATAAATCTATTGCTTGCTTTGCTGCTTCTGATGTTTTTAATTTTTCATCAGGTTCTGGAAATCAATTGGACAGGGCTGACCAACCTACTGGATATTCCTGGTTTCAGGTTAGTATTTCACATTGTCTAACTTTTACACAGATTTGGAAGTGAAAGTTGATTTAGCTATTGACATTACAATGAAATAAAAGAATAATGAATAATTGAGTAAGGCTAGGAATATCTTCAACTGTTCACTAACTTTATCCAAGTGTGTGTGTGTGTGTGTGTGTGTGTGTGTGTGTGTAAAATGTAGCTGCATCCTCGATTTTACTGAAGTTTTTGAATGTAGGAAAATATGTCTTGTATTTAGATGCATGAGCCTACTTCAAAAAGTCAATCAACTGTATTAGACCTTGTCCTAACCAAGGGACTGGTAAAGCAGGGAATTTTCTCAATAACTCAACAGCAAAACTTAGAAGTAATTCCAAAGTATCAATTAGTTTGTTAGATAGTTTTAAAACTATCTCGCAATGCTCTCAATTTTATAATCTATGCAAGATTGGCTTGATGTATCAACACTAACTGAATTGCATTCTTTGTAATGTCCTCCTGTATTCTTGTTCTATATAATTTGTAAAGTGGGGCAAAATGTTGCAAGTATTAAGACTGTTTCATGTCACTTCCAGGAATTGTGAAGTTTGTTCACTGGGCAAATTAAAATTAAGCAACTTTCCAATTCTTTGACAATAAAAATTAATGACAGATGAGGCTTTAGTTGAGACAAGTATGACACTTCTGGATTAAATCAAAGCCACATTATTTAAGATGTGGGATTCAATATGTAGTGTGTACAGTAAATTTGTATTCTATGTAATCTTTACAAACTTGTTTATGATTTAGCTATACATGGTACATAAAGAAAATATTCCCTCAGGTTAGTATTTCAGTATATTTAATTAATCACTGTGGGAGGCATCCTATCCTGATGAGTTTGGTATGTAGTAGTGAATTCTTAATCTCACATGTTCATCCAAACACTTGCAGTGTCTTATTGCTTTTCCTATTTTAATTAAATCCATTTAAGTTTGGTACTTTTATTGTGTTTTTATTTCTGATGGGATGGTAAAAGTACTTATTTCAAGTATTAGTTAATACTTTGACCCAGATTTGTCATCTTCAAGGCAAGCAGCAGAAGTTTGGAAAATTCCTAGCTTTGTGAATCCACCTCAGAAGAAAGTGATAGCAAAGTCACGATCTGGATTGCCAGGAACACGTGTCAGGTTCAGGTTGTAGTCAGGCTAGTCAACCCAGGAAAGCAGTAAAAGCATCCATGGAACCTGTCAGGTGCTAAGGCAAACTGTTTAAAATATATGCCTCAGCCTCATGGGACTCTGGCCCTTATAACCCCTTACCACCCAAAAAGTGTCCATGCCCCATCCAAGAAACCTCATATCTGTGAACCCACTTTGCATGCTCTGTATCCTAGATTAAGCCCCTTTACCTACCCCTATAGTCCCTAATGTTCCCCAAGTCAAGCTGTGGCATTTCCCCGCCCATTGTCTCTTATTTACTGGAAAGAAACGATGAACTTTCTGGTGAAAGTGACTTTAATAAAAGTGTCAACATAATTAGCTAAAGTACAGATACAAAGATTAAAGGTAAGTGAGGGTAAAAGTTTATGTATGTAGATGAGAATGAGATCCATCTCTTCTACCGTTGCAGACCTAGCTTGCTTTAACACTCTGTCTCCTAAGAGTAGATTTGAAAGCTTGAAGTCAGATTCAGCTTCTGTAGTCAAATAGTTAGAGCTTGTTCACACTGGTGAGCTGAAGAGAGCATATCCTGGGAGTGATTGAAAGTTCCTATTGCAGATTGCGGCTCAAGGTAACCTAGTTCAGTATAGCAGTATGTTATTCCTCCTTCTGGCTCCCTGTTGAAAATCAGAGACTGCTTTGGAATGTTTTGTTCTTGGCGTTCCAATGATTCCTGCATTTTCTGAATGCAGTGTTTATTCAGTTAGATTTCTGTACAGTGCAAAACTTAAAATGGCCACTATTTCAAAACTATTGAATTATGCTTCGATATTTAGGGTTGAGATAGTCTAGGTCTTGAGCACAGGCCAATTGTCTGTTAGTCAAGATAATTAACTTTGTGACTGTCTCCACAATTTACTTGATGTCTCTCATTATGTCAAGTTTTGCTGAGTTAAGAGCTATTTGCACTTCCAGAGAGACATTGTCAAGATGTTCCTGCTTACTTGTGGGAATGTTCATTGAATTTCAGAAGTTCCATTGTGATTTCTTCTTGATAGCTATAGTTTTGTTTTAGTACAAATTAAATCAACATAGGGTATTTATGGAAGTCACATTGGAAGGTTCCTTGTGTCTATTTTAAAGACCGATTAGCTTTCTTTACAAAATGTGATTTTATACCTATGCATTTGTGACAAGTACAATTAATAAAAACTCCTATTGGTGAATAATTCATTTTGAAGGCATGGGCAGTTCTGTGAGCACTGCCAGCTACCACAGTGTCTTTTAACCAGCTGCAAAAGATTTAGGTAACTCAAATATAGTGTTAGCTAATATGTGTTGACAAACCAAAGCAGCAAAGCAGAAACTCTGTCCTGTAGTTACCCAGTCATTGACAATTGGGTTGGCTATTTAATGCTATGATCTTCATGGCTTTGGGATTAGATTGGGATTATATTCATTGGAATTCAGAAGATTGATGGGGGAATCTTATAGAAACATATAAAATTATGAAGGGAATAGATAAGATAGAAGTCGAGAGGATGTTTCCACTGGCAGGTGAAGCCAGGACAAGAGGGCATAGCCTCAAGATTAGAGGGAGCAGATTTAGGACTGAACTGAGAAGGAATTTCTTCGCCCAGAGGGTTGTTAATCTATGGAATTCCTTGCCCAGTGAAGTAGTTGACGCTACTTCAGTAAATGTTTTTTAAAAAAAAGGTAGATTTTTTTTTGAACAATAAAGGAATTAAGGGATACGGTGAGAATGCGGGTAAGTGGATCTGAGTCCACGAAAAGATCAGCCATGATCTTATTGAATGGCGGAGCAGGCTCGAAGGGCCAGACGGCCTACTTCTGCTCCTAGTTCTTATGTTCTTTTCTATGATAATTCTACGATCTTACTGTGTGCTTTGTTTCTTCCTTTCTTATTACTCCACTCCTACTTACTCCAATAAGTTGCTTGACACTAAACAAACATATAACGGGGTTATTAGAATATACAAAGTGCTCTACAGAGTGCTGTGAAATTTGAAACCCATGCTATTAAAGTAAAACAGATGCAATGGTTTGCTAATAAAGTACGCATTAAGTAAATTTGCACTTTCAGCAATATTCTACAGAGACACCACTGTTCACAGTTTAATTTTGTATAAACACTATCATAACATTAATGTAACAGGGTGCTTTTTTGTAATTCCACAATGTACCGCAAGTCAATAACTGAGATGATATGTATTGAAGGTTTAATGTTTAGCTGTCCTTGTAACTTGAGTTAGATGAACTGTAATCCATTTGAAATATATACTTCAATCAGCAGCAGACAGCTTGTATTTCAGTGAGAAATGTTGTCCTAATACAAGGAAGTTATTTAACTGATCAATTACAGACTTTGAAAAGCAAAGATTATTTGAATTACAAGCGTTAAAAAGGCAATTATTATAACCTTAGTGTTTTTATGTTTGCTTTCTTTAACTGTGCTGTGCAAGTAAGAGAAAGCTGTAAAAATAATAAAGACAAAAATAGTGCCAGACTATTTGTACAGTACTATCTCACTTCAGGTTATGTGATGTTAATTTTAAAAACTGATTTCAGCCACTACTATCCTGTTGGCCAAGAGGCAAGTGACTTCTTTTTCCTTCATAACTGAGTCTAAAGACTCTTAATTTGCATTTGTTTCAACCCTTAATGTTTTATTAGCCAACAAAAGTTTACATTTATGACTTTAGTAGAAGTGCACAGGTATTAATGTGGGAGATTTGGTGGCAATGTAGAGTAGCAAATAACCACTCGCCATTTGGCCCATCTTGGCTATACCAACCCTATTTTCTTGCCATTTTTCCATGTGGTTTTACTATGTACCTGATTTAATTATTTTTCATTCTGTCTTATTATTGTGATTGATATCAATAGCACTTGTGATTATGCATTTCACTTTATAATATCCAGTTGTATGAATGAAGTACTTCAAATGCCCCATCTATACTTGTGGGAATCTTAAATTCATTTCCACTTGTTATTAAGTGAACAACGAGTAGAAGTTATTTTGACTTTTAACTTTCTCCACCTCCTGAGATTTTGAACACATCTAATTGTTAGATTTAACAAAGTGTGGAGCTGGAGGAACAAAAGCAGGCAGCGTCAGGGGAACAGGAAAGCTGATGTTTCGATTGTTAGATTTTGCCTTTTTAATGTTTACTTTTCCACTTTTGTGCAATCCACGTGTTCTAAGTTTCTCATCAAACTATGTTTTCTCAATCTGGTGTCATGTACTTTTCCTGGTGATAAAGTAGCGACCAATATACTTATATGCCATTATATTAACTATGAGCCAGTTCTGTATCTTTGCCAATATATTACCTCAACACAGTGGGCTCTTATCTTATGACTTAAACTTTTGGTGAACCTTGGTGAACACCTTCTGGAAGTCCAAATATAGTACATCATCTGGTTCCACTCTATCCAGTCTGGTTGAAACTTCCTCAAAAAAACTCTATTAGATTAGTCAAACACAATTTCCCTTTCATGAAGCCATTCTGACTCTGCTTGGTCAGGTTATAATTTTCCAAATGATCTGCTATTACTTCCTAATAATTGATCCCAATACTGTTCCAACAAAAGATGTTAAGCTTATGGTTACTTTTTGCTTCCTTCCCTTTTTGAATGGGGGTGTCACCTTAGCAGTTTTCTAATCCTCTGGTACTTCTTCAGAATCCAGTGGTTTTTGGAAAATTATAACATGAATATTTTAGTCACCCATAATTATTGCTCTATACATGCTCCTTTTGGTTTATTTATAGCCTTTCCCACAGAGTGGCTATTGTTTGGGGGTCTACACACGAATCCTACCAATGTCTCCTTTCTCTTCCGGTTTTGTTTTTTAACCTCTGCCCAAATGGACTCTACATCATTTAATCCCAAATCACTCTCAACTATCTTCATTTCACTTTATGTTAACAGTACTACCCCACCACCATTTCCATCTCTCTATGCCTCCTGTATACTAAATTCCCAGTTTTGATCTCCTTGTAACCATGTTTCTGTAATGGCTATGAGAACATATTCGTTTATCTGGATTTGCACTGTCTGTTCATCTCCCTTATTCCAAATGCTTCGTGCATTAAGATACAAAGCCTTTAAGTTTGTTCTGCTGGTGAAGTTCCTTGGTACAATATGACATTCACACATTCTGTCCTTCCTTTTATTTTCAGGTAACAATCAGCCCCATCACTAACCAGCAATCCTGCCTTCTCCTTTTACCTTTGATTTTATAATTATCCATGCAACTGAACCCTGCCCCCACTAGTTAGATTAAAGCCCTGTCTGCAGTCTAGTTCTGTGATTCACCAGGAATCTGACCCCAGTGTGATTCATGTGGAGCCTGTCCAATCAGAACTGCTTCCTCCTATCCCAGTATTGGTGCCAACATCCCATGAATTTAGGGCGGCACGGTGGCTCAGTGGTTAGCACTGCTGCCTCACAGCGCCAGGGACCCGGGTTTGATTCCAGCCTCAGGCGACGGTCTGTGTGGAGTTTACACATTCTCCCTGTGTCTGCGTGGGTGTGCTCCGGTTTCCTCCCACAGTCCAAAAATGTGCAGGATAGGTGGATTGGCCATGCTAAATTGCCCATAGTGTCCAGGGATGTTTAGGTTAGATGTGGGAAATTAGAGTGGGATGCTCTTTGGAAGGGCAGTGTGGACTTGTTAGGCTGAATGGCCTGTTTCTACACTGTAGGGGTTCTTTGATCTATGAGTCTATGATCTATGAATTCAAACGTGTTTCTCCCATATCTGTGCTCGAGCTGTGCAATTACCTCTTTAATCTTGTGCCACTTAGCTCTTGGCTCAAATAGTAATCCGGAGTGCTCACTAAGCTCACTCATTATTTAGTTTTTAGTAGTGTACATTGCTTAAACTTTAAAGTAGGGATTTGAATTTACCTCAGATTGATGTGATGAAGGCTTACTCCATCTGTTTGCTATTGAAAGTCATGGAAACGATTTGAAGCAGTTTCAATACACAGTGCAAAACTTTTTATTGCTTGGTACTAATTGACAGCACCACTAGGCAAGGCCAAAATATTTGTTATAAGAAATTGAAAATGTACATTACAGTAAGTGATGCTCTTCTGAAGTTGAAGTGAATCTATTGTGTTGTTTTGAAGTTGAGGTCGCACATGCTATACTGATTCTTCGGTGAGAAATACTGCCATCTTCTGAATAAAATGAAAAATGTTCAGATTCCGAAGTGAGAATATCTGTTGATGGAATAATTAAACAATAATTAGAATTTAATGATGTTTTACAAGTATGGTTTTTGTATCCTTCTCAAAAATGCAATAAAACAGTTTTCATACAAATAGCACTGCCAACATACTGCTATCAAGTAATTAATCATACTCATTTGAGATGAAGAATTATAATTTTTAATTTTACATCCAATTAAAAGCACAGACAAAAGTCAAATATTCTATTGTGGTTTTGAGGAAGAGCAAGGAAGATCTTATCAGTTTCCTGGTTGATATTTATCCCTTAGCCAACACCATTCTTTTGTCTTAAAAAGAAAATAATTATTTGGTCATTATGATGTTGCTGTTTGCACTATGGACAAATTGGCTGCTATGTTTCCTACAACAATAACTAAACTTTAAAAACTTACTTTATTTGTAAAATGTTTTGGAATATCTTGAGATCAAACGAGCACATTGTTGTTTAATCAAATGTTCACACCGTGTATTGCTGAGAAAAAGACAACTTGTTTGAAGCTTTTCACCTCGCACTTATACTTGACAAAACTGACTTGTAGTTATTGTTGACACAGTTTCAGAATGTCTTTTTTATTGCAATACTCAATTTCTGTACTGAAAGCAATTATTCACGGAGAAGTATATTTACATGGAAAGTGAACATTACGAAATAGGAGACTGATTAACATGTAGCATGCATATGTTTAATAATTGAGCCAGAACGTGCCAGCACAGGGCATTTTGTCACAGGCGCCGTGAGTTGAATCTTTTCTGCATACTTCAGCAGCATTTATTTTTGTGCTGCAAATTGCTGAATTGATGAAGCTGCGGTTTATCTAGTGAAGCATCTGGGGACTTTGGTGATCAACAAGAAGTATAGTCTATATCCTTAACCGATTAATTGTAAAGAAGGTAAATGGAAAAGAAAGACCGAGAAGGAAGTGGTAAAATTAGAGTCAAATTTAGATACAGCAAGAGAAACTGAAAGGAAGGTGAATTGAGGGAGAGAAGTTGAAAAGCCGCTTAAGGTTGTATTAATCTTTCAAGGCAGTTGATCATCCCATTAACAGGAAGTAGCTATAAATAGCTGCCTGAACTTGTAATGAGTTTAATTTGTATTTGTGGAGTAAATCAAGCCTTTTCATGACCATTTTGGGGAGAGCAACTGACAGGTCTTGTTTTTTGCAAGGCCAATAGCATCACAATTTCTGGTAAGGGAAATATATGCCAAGGGTTGCGAATCACATTTTGGTGCAAAATTTGTGTCAGAGTGAAGAAACCATTTACTTGTGAATGTTTGTCTTCTTTTAAATATTACTGGACCAGTTTATGATTATTCATAATACTCCATCTTCCATCATAATAATCTGTGCAAGCAGGCACAATCAGAAGTAGTGATACAGCACTGGGAGAGAAGTCATTATGGATGATGCTCTGGGTGCAGTTTGACTAAAAAGTAATGAGAGTACAAGTGAGAGCAGACCATCTGTCTGAACATCCGGAGGGGCATTGGAGAGGATGTCGTCAATAATGTCGAAGACTGCATGCAGGTCGAGGAGGACAGTGCTCAATTTCAGATGTCATTTTTGAATTTGTTATGCATATTTTTCAATACTGCAGCAGGAATGGAAACCTGATTAGAGGGATTCAAGCATGGTGTTCTGGGATAGGTTTGAGAGTTGACAAAATGTAAAAGGAGGCTCACTGGTTCTTGTGATGAGAATACTAAAATAGTACACTGTTCACATTGATTTTGCTCTTTTGTCATTTCTAAAAGATGTTTTTCTTCATTTCAGTGAATTGTCAGATACAAAGATTCTTGACACTATTGCTTCCTACATGGTCTTGCCTAATAGATTCGCCTGCCCACTAATTAATGGTGTCAATGTTTCTCAGCTACGGTTTCCTTTACCACATGTAAGTAACTGGTATTGATAATTGGTTGTTGACCTGCATTTGAGTGTGGTCGCACAATGCAAATCAAGAAAATTTGTTTAGATCCCCATGGAGACTGATGACGTTTAAAAAGAAATTTGAACATCCAGTTATTAGCTGAAAACGGCAACATAACAAGAGTTCACTTTTTATGATTTTTACAGTAACCAATGACTAAAAACATTTAACTAAACCCAAATTCCTTTTTATTTTTGCATTGTTCTTTCAGACCATTGCCATGTTGAAATTGTTTTAAAATTGGTTTCACTATAAAGTAAGTTTCTTAGTCAGTTAAAAGATGTTTTCTTAAGCTCAGGCCTGCATTATTCATTTCATGTCATGCTGTTTGTCAGGTACTGAGCTTTTCTATGACCTATTCAGTGCAATTTGATCACAGCATCCAGCACATTAGCTACTTCAGAGTGAACAACTCCCTTCTCCATATGTGCATCCTTGCTCCATCTTTAATCCTCTCTTGGGATTTCACATTGATATGTCATCTTCACACATTTCTGGATTTGTTGAATGTGGTCCTTATTGGGTGTCATCTTGAAAGCATTTGTCACTCATGCTCTTCTGCTGTTAGCATGGAAGGTCCAAGACACATTTCTTGTATTACCTTCTTCATTGATACATTCCTATATCCCAACATTAGTGTTCCTTCTGCTACACGTGACTTCTTCAAGTTTGGTGTTCTCTCTGCCCTTTCACACACTTTGCTTTGTAAAAGATTTATCAAGACCATGAGGATAACAGGTTTAACCTGCCAATCACCTCCTTCATCTGAGCTTTCACTGCCTTCAAAAAAATGCACCATTCGATAAGAGACAACTTCATTTTTTAACCAAATAAAGTTGTAATTTTCATGCCACATGCTCCACCCAATAAGCCTTCTTGACTTTCAGATATCTTCTCCAAAAATCAAGGTGCTAAGAGTATTCAATGCTGTGATGATGGGACTTCCAGAACTTTGACACAGCAATACTGAAGCAGTGGTGATATATTTACAAGTCAAGATGGTGTGTGTGATTCGGATGGGAACTTGTAGGTGATGATATTCCTATTATCTGACCTTCTAGATAATACTGGTTGTGGTTTTCAAAAGTAATGTCAAATGTGTCTGGGGGTATTTTTGCAGTATATTATGTAGATGTTACACACACCTGCTACTGAGTGTTAGTGATGGAGTAACTGAATGTTTGTGGATATGATGCTAATAAAATGGCTGTTTTGTCCTGGCTAGTGTCAAGCTTCTTGAGTGTTTTGGAACTGCACTCATCCAGGCAAGAGGGCAATATTCATCGCATTCCTGACCTGTGCCTATTAGTTGGTGGACAAACTTCAGGATTCAGGAGGAGAATAATAGTTAGATTCTCCCTTTATGGAGATGGTCATTGCCTGTCATTTGTGTGGCATGGATATTGCTTGTCACTTTTCAGCCCAAGCCTGGATATTGCCCATGTCTTGCTGTATTTGGGCATGGACTGCCTCAATATCTGAGGACTTGTGAATGGTGCTGAACATTGTGCAATCATCTGCGGACATTCCCACTTCTGACCTTATAGAGGATGGAAGGTCATAGAAAACAGCTGAAGGTGGTTGGGTGTAAGACATTACCCTGAGGAGCTCCTACAGAGAGGCCATGTAGATGAGATGATTGACCTCCATCAACCACAACTATTTTCCTTTGTGTCAGGTATGACTCTGACCAGTGGAGAGATTTCCCCCTATTTTCATTGACATCGGTTTTGCCAAGGCTCTTTCATGTCTAGGGCTGTCACGTTTGCCTCACCTCTGGAATTCAGGTGTTTTGTCCATGTTTGAAACAAAGCTGTAATGAGATCAGGAGCTGAGTGGCCCTGGTGGAACCCAACCTGGGTGTCACTGAGCAGGTTACTGGTGAACAGGTGCTGCTTGATAGCACTGACAACATTTTCCATCTTTTTACTAATGATTGAGAGTAGACTGAAGGGTAGTAATTGGCTGGGTTGAAATTTGTTGTGCTTTTTGTGGGCAGGACATACCTTGGGCAATTTTCTACATTGGTGGGTAGATGCCAGTATTGTAGCTGTACTGGAACAGTTTGGCTAGTGGAGCAGCAAGTTCTGGAGCACAAGTCTGCAGTGCTATTGATGGAATGTGATCAGGGCCCCATAGTCTTTGCAGTGTCCAGTGCCTCCAACCATTTGTTGATATACCCCTCTGACCCAACCTGAACTCACAAACCTCAAAGTGCTTGTCTACCCACATGGTGTGGACCTCCTGCTGCCAGTGACAAAATAAGGCCCTTGAATGACCATTAATTGACCTACAAAGGACATCGATCAACCCAAGATTGGATGAGCTGCCTATCTGTCCATCCTTGTAAAATTTCAGATAGGTCAAAGGTAGGTGGTATGGTAGGAGGCCATGCACTGGATTTGAGTCTCCCAAACACACCACCTGGGGAGTATAAATTCTAGTTCATGGTATTTGGGTGTAAATGGCAGGCCAACGCTCAATTTCTGGCAGTATCAGGGATAGAACAAAAACAAATTTGAGGATGTTAATACTATGGAACAATTCTTGCAGTAGCAGAAAAATAATCTGCATCTGAATAATATTTTATGTAGTGATGTTGGCAATTCCTTATTTTGCAGGGTGTGGTGAGAATTTATCTGAACAAAGCTGCAGATTTAATAAGCAAAGACACATTCCTTATGGGCATGGTACAAGGGAAATCTGATCCCTATGCTCTTATTCGAGTCGGCACACAGACATTTCGCAGCAAAACAATTAAAGTAAACTTAAATCCTGAATGGTATGAAATCTACGAGGTAAGATCATTTAGACTTCAGAACCTTTCCTCTCTGCATGCACTTCTCCCCTTAGCCCCACCTCCGAGAACTTGGCATTTTTGATCAGTTATTTCTACATTGATGCCAGAATAGGAAAATTTTAGTTGTTCTTGAGAGAGAGTGAATGGCTTATAAAGCTTTTGCTGTTTTCATTTTAGGCTGTAGTTCATGAAGCCCCTGGTCAAGATTTGGAGTTGGAACTTTTTGATGAAGACCCAGACAAGGATGACTTCCTTGGCAGGTCAGATGTAACCCTTCACAGTATTTTGAAATTTGTTAAGCCTTTCCTCTAGTTACTGACAGTAAATGACTTCCACTGCCAGCCTACTGGTGCCTTTAAATAAGAGGTTGGCTGGTGGTATGTGAAGATGGAAGTTTTCCTGAATTCCCTATGAATTCTTCCACAACACAATCATCAGACTCTCTCCCACCACCTCACTTTTTCTTTCTCAAAGAGACTCCTGAACAATTCTGCAAGGTTATGCAAGAGTCAATATTCTCCATGTCTTCACCTACAAAACTTGAAAACGATTATCAAAACACAGTGACACATTCTGCTTCTACATCCATTCCCACAAAACTGCACATGTTCAGCACATGGGGTCAAAAAATTGTGATCAGGGAGGCCCATGGTAGAATCCCTATTTGTTTGCTTAGCTGATATTAACTCACTTAGTACAAAGTAGTCAACTTGGAACTTTTCTGTGTCTTTATAAATTCCTACTACATCAGGCAGTGCACTTATGTATTCACTGATTATGCAGAACAATTGACTCACTTAATACTTTCATTGATCCTCATGCTTTATTGCCAGTTTTCCAATTCAAAGCATGTAAATTGAAACTTGTCCCAAAGTCTGTGTACATATTCTGACTTTTCGTAACTTATTTTAAATGTTCTGATGGACAGCCTCGTTATAGATCTTGGGGAGGTGATGAAAGACAGAGTTGTGGAAGAGGTAAGTACACCAATAATTATACTCTTACTGGTAGAAGTTAGATAGAATAAGATTACAGTAGCTATTTAATCCATAGCAGAGGCTAAACCTTCCATCAAATTTGAAAACAACTCAAATGCCCATTGTAGATTGCACCTTTGAATAGATAAGTAGAACAGTCCAAGATTTCATTGGCTTTTAAGTAATGATTGTGACAGAGTGCAATTGTGATTTTTTGTTTTTTACATTTGTGTTGGGAGTATCCGAATGTGAGATAAGAATTCTATTTAACGTATGACTAAAAGAAAGTTGAAGAAACTTTTTAATTTTACTGTAATAAAACAAAGAACTGCTGATGCTGGAGATCAGAAACAAAAACAAATGGTTGGAATTGTTGAAGGGTCGCCAGACTCGAAACATTGACTCCTTTCTCCTACAGATGCTGCCAGACCTGTTGAGTTTCTCCAGCAATTTCTGGTTTTACTTTCAAATTTTATATCTGAAAAGGAATGAAACTGTGGATGTTTTTAAGTGTACAATTTTTTGAAAGATTTCCTTAACCTTTTGTGTATAGTCCAAGGTAATGTGCAGTGCTGTATATTATCCTTGATTATTTTGTGAGAAGTGTTTCAGACATCCAAAAGATAGTAAATGCTGTGTTTCAGTTTCAGTGAGTGGACAAAATATTAATTAATGGAGTATAATGTGAAAAAAATCAGTTGTCCACTTTAACAGGAAGAATTGAACAAAATATTAAAATGAAGAGAGTAAAGAGGGACCTAAGTGTTCTTGTACATTGGCACACAGGTACAGGTAATGAGCAATTAGCTGATCTTAATAGCAAGAAGAACACAGAATAAAAGTAAAGAAGCCTTGCTCTAATTGTACACCGTTTTGGTCTCCTTACTTAAGCGGTTGGCAAGGAGGAAAGTTTAAGCCAGTTCTTGGAGTTTAGATGAATGACAGATGTTCTTATTAAAAAATACAATATCCTAAGGGTTTGACAGAGTGTATCAACATGCAAATTAGGAACAGGCCGCTCAACCTCTTGAGCCTGCTCCACCATTCAGTAAGTTCATGATTTATCTGATTACCCTACATAACACCTACACCTGATTAACCTTTCAACCCATTGCTTATCAAGTATCTATCTCTGCCTTGAAATATCCAAAGTCTTTGCTTTCTCCACTTTTTGAGAAAGAGTTCCAAAGACCTATAACTCGCTGTGAGAAAACATCCTCTCCTTAAATAGATAATCCCTTATTTTTAAACAGTGCCCGCTTGATCTAGATTCTTCCACAAGAGAAAATGCCCTCACCAAATCCACCATAATTTTACAGCCCTCAGGATCTGATATGTTGCAATCAAGTCACCTCTTACACTTCTGAGCTCCAGCAGATACGAGACTACTCTGGCCAACATTTTCTTGTAAAACACTCCATCCATTCCAGGTATTAGTCTAGTAAACTTCTGAATTGCATTTATGTCCTCCTTTAAATAAGAAGACCAGTACTATACTCCAAATGTTGTCTAACTGAATCATAACCTCGCTACTTTTGTGTTCAATTCCACTGGGAAGATGTTTCCTCTTGAGTGAACCTATTAATCAGAGACTCCCATTTAGGATGAGGAAGAGTTTCTTCTGAAGGTTGTTACTCTTTGGAGTTCACTTACACGGAGAGCATTGAATATATTCAAGATTGTAGACAGATTGTTGATCACAAGGGAGTTTAGGGTTATAGAAAGAGGAAAAATGGAATTGAAGCCACAATCAGATCAGCCATGACCTTAACCAATGGTGGAGCAAGCCCAGAAGGGGGTGAGATAACAAAGACCTACTCGTGTTTCTGTTTAGGAAGTGTATAAATTAATTGAGTGTTTGGCATTATCCTGTGGCACTAGTCAGTGTAATTTGCCTTTGCTTTGGTAGTGGTTATCGGCAATCATTTGAGAAAACAATTTTGAGTTGATTTTAGAAAGTAAAGAGAAATACGTGGAGCAACTTGCCCGAGTGGTCAATATTAACATTCCTATCTAGTCAAATTCAAGAGTCATCAGTGTTGATTTTTATAATGTTTTCTCGGGATGTGTCCGTCTGATTTATAAAAATCTCCTTCTTGCAAAACTAAAGCCTAAAACCCAAGCAAGTTACAAATTTTTTTTAAAAAAAGCAACTAAGCAGTATTTTTGAATAACAGTTTTTTAAAAACTGTTCATAAGTCACTTGCCACTGCAAAATATTGTTATGAGGAGAAGTTATTTTTACTTGCAAGGAAGGAAAATGATTCAAATTCCTTGGATACATCTCCAAAAGACACAAGAGAAACATTTATAAATAATTGATCCATGACCTAATACTCAGTACAAATTATTGATCACATTGACAGTTGGACTAAATTTAATACAGATCCATTATATACCATACTTCCATTTCATAGCATTTTATTCAATTGCCATTGCCTTAACCCTTTCAAACATTCTGCCTGTTGCACAGTGGTTTCCTCTGAACGATGTGGAACATGGGAAAGTTCAACTAAAGCTTGAATGGCTGTCTTTGGTCACTGATCTAGAAAAAGAACCTACGGTATGTTTGGAACCACACGGATGTGAATTAGACAAAGGAAATTTATATACAAAACCATAGATGTAATTATAAAAGAACAATTGCACACAGTGCATAGTTCCTTTTAAATATCACATCTACTTCTTATTATCTTTTCTTATTGCACTTCTTTGATAACATCCTAATGTTATAAAACAGCATAGCCTCCATCTCACAGGGTAGCATACCAATATATATTAAAAATACAGCACAGAGAAAATCTTCTGCAATTAGCAAGATGTGTTTAAAAAGGAGAAAATTATCCAGTTTAAGCAAATGTTAAAATCATAATTAAATAAGAAAATGTGATAGATTTGATCAAAATTGAGCAATGCCAATATACATTCATGATTTCAAGCTAGCATGATAAAAGAATACAGCAATAAAGTCACATGAAAAAGAAAGGAAAATTTCACTTTGTTCCTCTAATTCACAGAAGACTCTTCCAGGCCAATCAAATGCAATACTGGTTGTTTATCTGGATAGTGCATGTCATCTGCCCGTAAGTAAACAATTGTTTTTAATGTAAGTTTTGTCTTAATTTGTGGAGTAATTTATGTTAGCTTTTAAAAATATTAATTTAACAATAAAGTAATTTTCCTAGGCCTAATGAATGTAACTCTTTTAAGTGAGGGAGACAGCAGGAAATCAAAGGTCAGTTTGCTGAACATCAGTCATAGAGAAAATATTAGAAGCTATTATTAAAAATTGTGTAACAAGGCACTTAAAAGTAATGCAAGGCATTTGGGAAGCGGTTTCGTGGAAGGAAAATCATGTTTAGGAAATTTATTGAAGTTCTATGAGGAAACAATATGCCATAGATAAAGGAGAACCAGTGGATGTACTGTACTTGGATTACCAGAAGGCATTTGATAAGCTATATCAAAATTGTTGTGCATAGCTGCTGTTAATTATCACATCTACTTCTTATAACCTTTTCCTATTGCACTTCTTTGATTACATTGTAATGTTATAGATCAGTCGGTGTGGAGTTTTTGGGCCAAAGGGCCCGATTCCACACTGTAGGGATTCTATAATTCTTAACAGCATAGCCTCCATCTCACAGGGTGGCATACCAATATTCATTAAAAATACAGCACAAAGAAAATCTTTTCAATTAGCAAGATGTGTTTGTAGATAAAGGAGAACCAGTGGATGTACTGTACTTGGATTACCAAAAGGCATTTGATAAGAAGCTATATCAAAATTGTTGTGCAGAATGAAACGTCATAATACAAGAGATTGGTATGATAGAAAACTAGCTAGCTAAAGTGAAACTGAGTAGGCATAAATGGTCATTTTCATTTTGGCACAATATAACAAGTATTGTGCTGGTCTTCAACTATGTATAGTTTAGTTAAATTACTTGGATGAAGGGACCAAAGGTATTGTTATTAAATTTACAAAGGTAGAGAGGAAAGAAAGATGTGAAGAGGATATGAGGAAGCTAAAAAGGGATATAGTTAGGTTGTGTGTAAAGATCTGGCAAATTGAGTATATTGTGGGGAAAAATAAAATTGGCCATTTTGGCATAAAACATGTGAAAAAGCACATTATTTATGCGTTGAGTGATTTCAGAGACATCTGGTGTCCCAGTGCACATATCATTAAAAGTTAGTAGTTAGGTACAACAAGTAATTAAGAAAACTTAATGGAACATTATCATTTATCATGAGGGGAACTGGATACAAAAGTAGTGAGGTTATGCTTCAATTGTACAGGGCATGAGTGCTGTGCACAGTATTGGTCTCCTTCTTTAAGAAAGGGTGTAAATAGATTGGAAGAAGTTCAGAAAGGGTTTGCTAGACTAAAATCTAGCATGGATGAGTTGTCTTATGAGGAAAAGTAGGGCAGATTAAGCTTGTAAGTGATGGAACTTCAGGTAAGAGGTGATTTAACTGAACTTAAAAGATCCTCAAGGGCCTTGACAGAGTGGATGTGAAAAGGATATTTCCTTTTGTGGGAGAACCTAGAACTAGAGGTCACTATTTAAAAGTGAGGGGTCATCCATTTAAGAAAAGTGAAGAATTTTTGCTTCCCTCTAAGGATCATGAGTCTTTAGAACTTTCTTCCTCAAAAGGCAGTGGAAGCAGAGCCTGTGAATATGTTTTAAGTTAGAGTAGGTAGATTCTTGATAAGCACAGAGTTGCAAGGTAAAAGGGGTAATTGGCAAATAATCTTTTTCAGTTATAGAGCAGGATTGAGGGACCAAATGACCTGATTCTGCTCATGAGTTGTTTTTACAAAACTTGTATTTGTGGATACTGAAAGTAATTTATTTCTTTCTCCAAGAGAAATCAATTTGAGTACACCAATAGTGAGTCCAGTGTTAAGAAAAAGAACAAATCAAACTACATCAAGGTAATTATTTATGATATTACATTCAAGCAAATGCATAATCATGTTTAAATTCTAAACAATTAGTTCAATTTAGGGGGTCTGTAAGAAGTTTATATTCACTGCTGCCAGACTCGAGACACCCACCCTCAATGCTTTGAGACTACTGGCATTTCCCTTTTCACAGCTGAAAAGTCTCAGAATACGTAGCAAGTTGTCCCTACATGGTCCTGTTCTGTCAAATCCCAGTTTTTTGCCCTTACCCAGCGGTTTGGCATGACTGTACATCTCCCCATTCTGGCTAAGTACAGCATTCCAACCAACTGCAGCTAAACATCAGGACCAATATTGCCAATATCATCACTGCACCTGCTTCCCGTCTCTGACTGCTACCAAACTAGCACCAACCCTTCAGAGCAACTAAACCTCACGATATTTCCTGAGAACAGTTAAACGTCAGGTACTTGTTTCCAACCTGCTACATATTGTACTCCAGATTGCTCTATATCCTTAGCTTTAAATAAAAATTTTCTGAGGAAATGTCTACTTTTGGAACATGATGCACGCCTTTTGGAGATGGATTTTGAGAGACCAGAGTTAACCTTTGCAACTACAGTTATTAGTTTCACCAAGGAATCTGTAAACAACTAAGGAATTCTTTGAGCCTGACATTGAAGAATCAAATTCAAGACATCTACCCTCAATGCTTTGAGACCATTGGCATTTCCCTTTCCACAACTGACACATCTCAGAATACATAGTGAGTTTTGTGCAACATTTGTCACTTTGACCTGATTTTTAAGAATGGTAAAATGGTTTCAAAAAAAAGGGGAGGAAAGTTTCATAAAAATTCAATATTGACATTGGAAAAAGATGAACTGAAAAATTGATTTGTTTTAATGAAGTCTTTGCCCTGGCTCATCCTTCTGCCTTGGGTCTCTCTATATCTCGCTGCAGTGAGGAGCAGACTTGCTGCAGGCAATCAATTGGGGCAAACCTTAGTAAATGCATTGACTATGTTATAACTTTATTCCATACAGCTAGTAATGTGGGCTTCAGCCTGAGGGCAGGTCAGCTACCTCTGTTATACCTCATCAGTGGTGTGACCCTTTGATCTTTCATTTATAAATTCTGATCCTACCTCTCTCACTAACACTTGAAGAAGGAGTGAGGCTCTGAAAGCTTGTGGTTTCAAATAAACTTGTTGGACTATAACCTGGTGTCATGTGGTTTCTGACCTTGTACACCTCCAGGAGCTGCATCTCTAGCTTTTCAGCATAATGGAGACAAAGTTGTCCACATTTCTGTAATGTTCAATTGTTAATAGATAGTTCTGCTTTCTTGGTACCGCATTCCACTTTAATGGTCATGCTGTCTCCAGTATTTTCTGCCTCCCAGTGATGTATGCTACAGATCAGCCTCTCTAACAAAGTTTGCAGATGCCAGAAACTATGTTTAAAAACAAAGGAAAAGACTTCTAACAGAACTCTACACTCCACTCCCAAAATGTATTCTCACTATCATCTGTATAGATGAGCCACTTTGATGTTATTTTTGTTGAACTTGGATAATGAGCATCATGATGTTTTATATAGGAAATGTAGGAATGTGTAGCATCCTCTCAGGTAAAAGTTTCACTGATACCATCTAAAGTTAAAGTTAAAAACAATCAAATCAAAATAAATTTAGTCGTTATGAACTAGATAATAAATAGCAGATAGTCATTAATATCTGTTGAATTTAGTATTGTCGTTCAAATGTATTAGCTTGTTTTCAATGGAGGATTATAATGTTTTTACATTCACAGTCAACAAAGAGGGCTAACTTGGAACCTAGCTGCTCTGTTCAACTTGTTGTTGGAAACAGCATACAAGAAAGTAAGGTATGAGTTGTCATATTCAAATCTGCACATTTTTGCACAATTTCTCTGTCGTATAAAAAAAAAAAAATTGCATGCGTTAATTTTTCAACATACTTTCAGTGCAGTAGTATCTTGGAATCACTTCTACCTAAGATTAGATGGGATGATCTAAAAATTGTACCCAAGACCTGAATAAAATCGTTAGAATGTCCATTATATTGGCCCAAAACTGGTAATGAGAGACCTGAACCAGAACTAGATTGGCTCTCAGTTAAAAATTACAGGCAAGTTGTGGACAGCAAATGATTGCAATTTGATGGTTGTAAATAGACAACAAAAATCACCCACCTTCCATAATGAGCCAAATGGCAAATTGGATGAGTATCTGTGGCAAGGTTTGGAAGAGGGAAATCCTGGCGCAGGCCTCAGAAGGGCTAGCAACAGGCTGATACTACTTTGTAGGTTAGGTAATTTTTGTTTCCTCTGACCTCCAAATACTTGTTTGGCTGCTTGTTTTTTGAGCAGTCATCAGTAGATCCCTTTACATTTGCTGATTATAGATTTCAATGACCTCCACCAATTTGAATGGTGCAGGAAATAATTTTGCAAACTTGAGCAATTTTCTGGAAATTGGGAAGTCTTGACTTTCAAAGGGTCCACGAAATGTCATATATTGTTCCTGATTTTCAACATTCAGTTACTTGAGTCTTTGTGGGGGAATTTCTTATTGCTGAAATGTACACAATTTCTTCTCAAGAAGGGAACACTTTACTTACCAGCAAGAAATTCCTGACACCAATTAGTGTTTCACTTAAACAAGTCAATTAGATAATTTACAGATGTTATTAGGGTTGTGAACGATTGTATATCTAACGATCAATTTTGAATTCACAGATTTCCTACAATACAAATTCACCAATTTGGGAACAAGCATTTGTATTCTTCATCAAAAATGTTCACTCCGAACAACTAAGCTTAGAGGTAAAACAATAATGTAAAAAGCTGTCTTCAATAATTGAGACAAAATTAAAGATGACATTATTGTATGGAATAAGTTTAGGTTCATTTTCAGCACTAAAATGCCTTAAGGTGTTCAAATTTTGAAATTGCTTCAAGAAAGCTTCAAAATATATGACAGTAGCAACAGGCTTACTCTGCTTAATGAAGTTCCAGTATGGCTGATGGAAAGCTTGAACAAATCACTTACCTGAAGTTTGTAACCCACCATATACCTTAAGAAAAAAACAAGGGGATTAAAAGAAACATTACACATTTTTGCCAAATGCAATTTAGAGGCTTAAGTCTTATTTCAGACCACCTTCTGTAATAATGCTTTTCCAAGAGGCTGTCCAACAAAACATCCATTGGGTTTGCAAACATCAAAGAAGACAAATGGCTTGCCTGAACGTGGAGCTAGGAGGAATGAGTGGCCTGCCTAATCCTATACTAATAGAAAACCAAAAGAACTGCAGATGCTGGAAATCAGAAACAAAAACAGAAATTACCAGAAAAACTCAACAGGTCTGGCAGCATCTAAGAAGAGAAAGCAGAGTTAATGCTTCGGGTTCAGCGACCCTTCTTCAGAACTCAGTGTACCAGATCACAGAACACAGACCTACTAATTTTTTCCAGCAATTTCTGTTTTTGTTCCTATATTAATAGAGCCGGTCACAATTCAAGAACTTGCCTCTTCCATCACCGCTCCACATGGAACCAATCTCTTCTCTGGTCTCCACTCTTAATCCCACCCCCAACCCAAGCTCCTATTTATGATAATGATTATTGAGAGTGATTGCAACTTTGGCCGTAACCCAAACCTGGACGTTCTCCTTTTTGGCCGACTCCATGCACCCTCAGTAATATTGAAGTGAGGCTCAAGGCCCAATATCTGTAAAACCATAACCTTTGCTTTTCAAATTTAGTAACTGGGGACTACACCCTCTCCATGCACCCAGAAATAATTGAGAATCAATTTTGAGGCTGTACAGTGTGTCTGATATAAATATCTGTTCATGAAAGATCACCCTAAGATAGCAAAGCTCCAGAATTTGTGTTTGATGTAGCACACTTTGTCCCATCCGTTCAAAGGCCGGATATTGGGCCTGGGACCGTCGCAGAGTGGGCCCTGCACAGACAATTCATGGAAGTGATGCAGAGAAGTGACAAGCATCTATGAGCTGAAGGAAGCAAAGATCTTTTCCCTGGCTGGATATCCACAACCAGTGTAGGCATTTTAGAATACACGTAGGCAATGCACATTTGAAAGTGACTCTTACGATTGCTTTTTTTTTCAGGAGTAGGTGAGGCAAGAAGGGTTAGCATTTATGCAGTTCATGATATTGGAAGCTCAGTCAGTGAAGGTGCTTAGCCATTGCTATGCTAAAGTGTAGAATCCTAATTTTCTATGGAGCTGTAGAGATGCAGAATAGAACTAGTGACCTCAGGTAAGATGTCATAGACCTGGGGAGTCTTGTCTAGGGTGAGTATTTCCAAATCAGCCATCTCTCCCAGAAAATGCAACCGTCCATGGGACTTGCGGCCCATGGTGTGGCAGCTAGATGTGTACTATTAACAGAGTCTAGAGGTTTCTGAGCTAGGGTTGTTGCATCAATATTATCACATTGCAACCAGATAGGAAAATAAACATGGCACCATTCTTTGCAATAAAAGCAGTATGAAACTTTCCTCAGGCAGTGAGGTACGTTGAATAGAGGGTGTCACAATCTCCCGTCCAGCTGGTCCATCACAAACAGAACGGTAAAAGAAATCTATCCATGTAGCTCAGTCCCCCTAAACCATCTAGACTTTATATGGGGTCAAGCCTGCTGTCTATACTGGCCCTCTTGTCCAATTTGGTCTGCAGCCAGTGCTGGCTCCTGCTGTAGATTCTGTTACCGTAGGATTAGGGGTGATGCCAGTGTTTCTTCTGAGAAGCAACATGACCAAAGGCCAAGTGTACATATATATGGGCTAAATGCTGGAAAATGGGATTAGGATAGTTAGGTACTTGTTTTTTACTGGCACAGACTTGATGGGCCAAATGGCCATTTTTCTGTGCTGTAGATCTGAGTATCACTCTAACAGTGAAAAGGTTGGTCTGTGGCATTGAGATATTGCTTTCAGATCATCTCTGGGTTCAGTAATGTCATGTAACTAGTAAACGTTCTGACTGTTGGCCTGTTTCAACATGCTAGAAACGTCCATCACCTTTTACGTGTCCCACCTGGCCGCTGCCTCCCGGGAAAGTGCATCCTGTGCAGCTTCAAAAGACAGCTCCTTGTCACTGGCACATGGTGCCAGTGTGCATTGCCCAGAGTACTGAAAGGATCCAGTGCATTTTCCCACACAAATAAGCAATTTCCTTTAAGGGAACTTGAGGCAGAACCTGTCAAATATTGCCAGCAACCAAACCCCTCGTAACCTCTAGCTGTTTTCACCCTTCCCCTTCTGAGGCAGGAGCATCAAGTCTGGATGCTGGAAAGTGCAGTGCTTTTGACTTGGCTTGTGCCAATTGAGCAGCTTCTAGATTGCATTTGCCTCCCCTGCTGCAGTGATTGCTTGCAAATCTAAGAGATCCTAATCAGAAGTCCAATGACACCAGGTTATAGTCCAACAGGTTTATTTGCAATCATAAGCTTTTGGAGCGCTGCTCCTTCCTTAGGTGAAGTGAAGAGAACCACACAGGCACAGTATTTGTAGGCAGAGAGATCAAAAGATCATACATATGATGTGAGTGGAGTGTCGACAGACTGAATAACAAGTCTCTGCAGGTGATCGAAAGTCTCAGATAGTGTAAGTGTCACAGCTGTATAGCAACTGAAGGGTTGACCTATAATCCAATTAATTGAGGCAGAGAGATAATTACAGAAAATTTAAAATAAGATGGTGCTAGAGACAAACCAACTAGAATAACATGATAGGTATAAGAGTCGCATGCGGAAGGTCTACTAAGTAACAACTAACCCAAAACTCTACAAACTAATTAAGCTAGAGAGATCATAACAAGTTATCAGGTGATGGTGTCAAAACAGGACAGTAAGCAAGATTTTACAGATACAGAACTGTGTGGTGGGGTTACATGTAGTGCAACATGAATCCAAGATCGCAGTTGAGGCTGTCTTCATGGGTAAGGAACAGGAATGTTCCCTCCCAATCGGGGAACTCTTCAGGGGTCAAGGACATTCAGTCTCCAATCTTCAGGTAAGCGTCCTCCAAGGCAATCTTCGAGATACAAAACAATGTGGAATTGATGAGCAGAAACTGATAGCCAAGTTCCATACCCATGAAGACAGCCTCAACTGTGATCTTGGGTTCATGTTGTGCTACATTAACCCCACCACACGGTTCTGTATCTGTAAAACCTTCCTTACTGTCCTGTTTTGACACCATCACCTTGATAACTTGTTATGATCTCTCTACCTTAATTAGTTTGTACAGTTTTGGATTACGTATTACTTTGGTTAGACCCTCTTATACCTATCATATTAGTGCAGCTATTTGGTTTGTCTCCAAAATCATCTTATTTTTAATTTTTTTGTAATTGTCTCTGCCTCAATTAATCGGATCACAGGTCATCCCTTCACTTGCTATACAGCTGTTGACAATTTACTCACACCGTCTGACACTTTCGATCACCTGTAGAGACTTATTCAGCCTGTCGACACTACTCACACCTTTTGTATGGTCTTTTGATCTCTGCCTGAAAATTCTGTGCCTGTGTGGTTCTCTTCACTTTACCTGATGAAGGACAAGCGCTCTGAAAGCTTGTGATTTTAAATAGATCTGTTGGACTGTAACCTGGTGTTGTGTGACTTCTGACTTGTCCACCCCAGTCCAACTCTGGCACCTTTACATCATAAGAGACCATGAGGTGGCAATCAGGCAAAAATGTACTTTGGTTCTGTGAGTTGAAGTGATCTCGTTAGAATGTGGTTACTCAAGCACTGTTAAGATGCTGATAAAGGAACAACTGTGGGTAGCTGAATGATTGATTGTCTACCAACTGCACTTGTGATTCCTAGGGGCCAACTGTTCAACTGAGTCTAGTGATTATTGTAGGCTAGAGTGCTCCAGAATAGCATTGTAGCTTTATACAATCCAAAACTGTTATTGCTTAAAAGCTGGAATGACCCTGTTATTCAAACAGATATAGTCCCTGACACTATCACCAGGAAAACAGCTTGGTTCACAATTGTCCAGTTCACATAATTGTCTTTGATCACTTCCTAGTTTCTACCATTGAGAAAATTAACAATCAAATTAATATTCTCCCTTCCCAACAGTTTAGAAATTTGCATAGATATGAAGCATGTTTGGATAAGCAATACAATTTAAAGTTACTTTCTGGAATTAAGTAGATTATTGGCTAATATTGTTAATAAATGCATATTCATTAATTTATTGCAAAAGTGTTTTGTTCTATGTTCAGTTTTGTTAAGTAAAGTATACAAACTACTGTTATAATTTGTTTTGAGAAGATCAAAGACAAAGACTGGGAGTGTGCCCTTGGGATCTTGACCATTCCTTTGTATCAATTGTTGAAAGCATCAGATATGACCCTTGACCAAAGGTTTCCACTAGAACACTCGGGCCCCAACAGCCTTGTAAAATTGAAGATGGTTCTTCGGGTAGGTTAAATAATCTTTTTACTTGATGTTTTCCTATACAAAGAAATGCTGTTGTTACCCTTTGCCTTATGTGGCAGTGGAAAGTGCAGTGCTTTTGACTTAGCTTCTGTCATTAGAGCAGTTTGTAACTAATGTTTGCCTCCCTTGCTGCAGTGTTTGCTGGTATTCCCTAAGAGATCATGATGTGGCAATCAAGTGAAATGTACTTCGATTCCATGAGTTGAAGGGATCTTGTTAGAATGTGGTTACTCAAGCACTGTTGATATGCCGTTGGCGCTAATGTGATCCACACTGGCTGTCCAGCCAACTGAGCCATCCAAAGAGGTGTGTCTCAGTTACTCTGTCACTATAGACTTTGACATGTATGCTATAGTCACAGAGCAGTGAATAGTGATTTTTTTTTTTGACCAGGAATCCATGCTGTCTTAGGTTCAACAGCAGTGTGCAAATCCTGTTTGGCCATTGTTTAATATACCTTCCTTGTTCATAAAGTCTTGAAATGGGATTTGAACTTGGAGCTGCTGGCTCAGAGGTAAGAATACCTCTATCCCCACTCTGTCACAGACCTATTGTAGGTTAAATATATCAGTGAATTTTAGACCTATTTTGGTGCATCTTGCTTTCTTAGATGTGAATATATGCTGTTACTGTACAGATGTGAAAGCATGGAGGATTTTGTTAACTTCTTATGCAAGCTAAATTCAATACTATCAATATTTATACAGCATCTTTGTTGAAATCTTAGAAATCCAGTAACAACCAGTTAAAGTAGATTTGTAAACAGATTCCATTCTGAATCAATCACTGCCAACAAACCCCCCACCACCAAAAACCATCACCACACCAACAACCTTAGATTTTCATTAGGAACAAAATTGCATAGGCACAGGGTTTGTCACAACTACAAGCTTGTTTATTTAATGAACCTCCTGACATGCTGATACAGAATGTCTGAGCTGGTCTAAATAATACAATGCCTTGATTGGTTTATCTGATTTAAATCCCTCCACTCCCAATCAAAACACATGGTCGCCCCAACTTAATACCTTTTTACTGAGAAACCACAGGCAACATCCTATGTTTCTGCCCCAAACCTCCCTCAATTCAGTCATAAACTCTCTGAATTTGATTGTTACTCTTATTTTAATTTTTAAAATCTCAGACTCAATACCCCTCAGATGTAGGTGATAATTTACAACCCTCTACACAGTTGCTCGTTCTGGTGAGAATTGTGGGTCTGCAAGACAGACTGATTATTCTTGACACCAAGCCCCCAACCCCTCCCACCCCCAAAATGACGGCAGACCCTCCTGATAAGATCACCTAGGATTTGGCTGGATCAATTAAAATCCCCATCATGGCTGGACAGTCCACTGTTGATTGTAGGCCTCTATCAGGCTGGTCAGTGCTGAGTCTTCAACTGCAGTAAAGTTCCTTTGATTTCACCCCTTTTTTATAATGATTCATATCAAACATGTTGTGGTTGTCCATGCTGTGTTCAGGATGTCTGAGGTGCAATCATCCTGAATATTCCAGTCTTGGTCCAGACAAGTATGATCATTGAAATAAATTAGATTCTTGAGATTGCAGACTTGCTCGCCTAGCTGGTATGTTTGATTGCAGACGTTTCGTCACCCTGCTAGATAACGTTGTCAGTGCGCCTCCGGTGAAGCTGGCCTCCGGTGAAGCATGCAGGAAGTATAGTTGTTCGCGGGCCGCGCTCAGACAGATGGCATTTGTCTTCCATCTGCAGGCCGGTTTGAGGGTGTTGCGCCCGTAGGTGTTCAAACTTTTTTTGAGAAGATTTGTAGCTTGGGTTGTGGATGAGGTTGTAGACTTGCTCACTGAGCCGGTGTGTTTGATTGCAGATGCTTCGTCACCCTGCTAGGTAACATTGTAAGTGTGCCTGTCAGTGAACTTCACAAGAGGCGCACGGACAATGTTACCCAGCAGGGTGACGAAACGTCTGCAATCAAACACACCGGCTTGGTGAGCAAGTCTACATCTCGTCCACAACGTGAGCTACAAATCTTCTCAAGAAGTTTAAATTCCATTCTTATCTATGGAAAGACCAGTCCAGACAACTTCACAAGAATCCTAACCATCTCTCCTGCTGTTTGAAGATGACGTTGTAACAGCACCTGACCTAAGATGGATGAAGGTTTAAATTATCCGTTTCCCCCAAGGGAACTCAAAGCAGCAATGGGCTAATTCCAGTACTTTAGTATTATGTGATCAATTCCTTTGCATCCTGCAATGACCTGTATCATTATCCCATGACAACAGTCAGACAGTCAAAAAATTATTTTTTACTTCATTGTCTAAATAAACCCTTATTGCACAGTCCTTCTCTGTGCTGACGGTGGGATTTTATTTCACGTAATTTGGGTTTTTTGTTTTTCTCCATGTTCTACAATTTTCTCGGTTAACGGGGATTTTGATCACACCAACTTACCATATTTTCCATTTAACACCAGAGTTTTTTTCAGCGATGCATTCTTAAATATATATTTTTAAGGCTGAGTTACAGGTTCTTGATTGATAACGGAAGGTTGAGGTGAAGCCCCAGTCAGATTGGCCATTGTCTTATCAAACAACAGAGTGGGTTTGAAAGGCTGAATAGCCTACTCATCCTAATGCATATGTTTCTATGTTTAAATAAAGCTCCTACTGGTCAAGTTAATATACTTTTTCAGTTGCACTTCCTGTATATAATTTTAAAAAGGCACAGAAGAATATAACATGAGCACATTCAGTTTCCATGCCTGGATTTTACAATCTGAAGTCGTACCCTCAACATTTACAATGACATTAAAATTCTGGTCAGTTTTGTGTTATGGAATTGATTCACAGAATTGTTATGCCCATTGTGTCTGCACTAGCTGTCTCAAGGAGCATAATGACTTAATGGCAATCTCCTGCATTTTCCGCATAACCCCGAGTACTGTTTCTATCTAATTAATCATCTAATGTCGAGTTCCAAAAGTCAAATAGTGCAAATGGCATTGGCACGCAGATCGCTGCGCATGGACCCTCGGAGCAGCTGTACAGCTTATGGGGAACGATGGCCTCCGCTATGTGTCCGAGCAATGCTTTCTAGACCCTATTTACTTGCTGTGTGAAACTTTTGTTTCATATTGCAGTTGCTGCTTTTGCAAATTGCCTTACATTTGTGTCCTCTCATTCCCAAACCCTTTCTGAGAAGACACTGGTTGTCCTCATCTATTCTGTCCAGCTCCTTCAAGATATTGAAAACTTCAATCAAATCCGCTCTTAGCTTTCTCTCGAAGGAAAGCAGTTTCAGTTACTCCAAGCTATGCTCATAACTGAAGTTTCTCATCTTTGGAACAGTCCTTGTTAACGTATTCTGCACTCCCTCTCCAAAATGTTTACATTCTTCTTAAAATATAGTGCCCAGAACTGTACACAATACTCTAGCTGAGTATCAGTGTCGCATACAAGTGTCTCGTACAAGTTCAGTATAACCTTGCTCCTGCACTATCTGCCCCTTTTAAAACCCCGAATACTTGTATGCTGTATTCGGCTATCTGCCACCTTCAACAATCTATACATATCTATATCCAGGTACCTCCACTCCTGCACCCTCTTAAGAATTGTTCTCCTTATTTTGCATTGTCTGTCCATGTTCTTTCTACCAAAATGCATCACTTCGTACTTCTAAGCATCTGAGAAAAGTAAGTATTAAGTTATCATGGTTAATATTAGAAACTGCAAGAGTTTCTGGCTGAGAGTTGCTTGTTGATATTTGTTCTTTGTGAAATACACAGATACTCACCACTGAGGAACCAGATCCTGACAGTGTCTACACAGGACTGAATGCCCTTAAAAAGGGTCCTATTTCAATAAAGAAAAAGAAAAATGGAAGCCAGCCTAACACTCCTCCTCCAACTTTAGGATCATCAAATGTTCCAAAGACGTGCGGTAATAGTACAGTATGTGACCCGATGGAGAAAGAAGAAAGGCAGCCTAAAGATGCTGACGAAATTAAATCAGAACTGCCAATATCTCCAACGCAATCCAGCTCATCAGATGCCATAAAAGATATGACTAGGACTGCTTTTGAATCGTCATTCACCATTTCTACCCTTGGCCCTCAGCAGCTGCCAAAGTATAGTCTATTTTGATTTTTGTAATTAAACATTTTGTGTTTTGAAACTTAAAGTACAGAATTTAATTGTTTAAAGATTACTTTTTTTTAGCCTGTGACACACGTTAAAATATAACTAGGTAGGAATTTCAGGTGAAACTATGAGCCATCACAACTTTGAGATGATGACGACTGAAAGAAGCACAGAACAATTAATTTGTATCAGGCTAAAATTTGGCACTGTGATTAGTAAAACAATACAAACCATTGAACATGTTAAAACCACCACCTTCCTTACTATGTAAACTAATAAGTGCTAATGTTATTTTCTGATAATTCTAATTCTAATGATAAGTATTATTTGAAACTTCCTGGGTAATAGCCAGAAAAAACATTGACATTCTCAACTAATCTCATATCACCTTGATCTATTTGTGGATTTGGCTTTGTCTTACTTTGTGCTTCACGGTTGCCTACATTTTTTTTAGAGGTTGTATCTTCAATTGCAGAGCTATCAATTGATCTTCAATTACTTTATAATTTTCCCAAATGTAGCCTAAAGTTACCAGACTTTGAATGTAGAAATCATTTGAGCAGTATGTAGAGCTTCAGTTATAGGAAGATCCATGCAGGTTGATCACAATCAAAATAAATCAGAGAATGAGATAACTACTAATGGCTAGAAATTGGAAATGAAATCATGAAATTTCAATATCAAAACTCTCCCTGCTGAGCAGAATATTTTAGGAACATTTTATTCACAAACAGGAGAGCTAACAAAAGCTTGATGTGAAAGTTTCTTAACCATATTTTACAATAGAATAGGAGGAATGTATAATGAAAAATCTGTTTGCATCTCTCTAACCAATTAGAGTAAATCCATGAAAAGGCATTAGTGAGACTGCCCTGGAATATTGCATGCAATGTTGGTCTCCTCACTTAAGTGGGGATGTATTGAAGGCAGTTCTGAGTACATTCACTAGATTGATTCCAGAGACGAGGAGTTTGTCTAATGAAGAGAGATTGAGCAGTTTAGGGCTATATGTTGAGTTTAGAAGAACGAGAGGAGGTCGAATTGAGGTATACAAGATGCTAAAGTAGATTGATAAAGTATATATAGAATGCATGTTTCCTTATGTGGGGCAACCTAGAATGAGAGGTCATAGTTTTGGGATAAGGCGTAGCAGATTTAAAACAGATGAAGAAAAACTACTTCTCTCAAAGGGCCATGAATCTGGAATTCATTACTCCAGAGTGCAGTGGTATGGGGACATAGAGTAAATTTAAGAAGGATATTTACTTTGTAATGGGTTGAAGGACCAGCAGGCAGGAAAAGGGAATTGAGGCAAAGATGAGATCAGCTATGATTTGTATTACATGGTAGAGCAAGCTTAAGATGCTGAACCACCTACTCCCAAAATATGATGGTTTACCAGAAAGGGCCATAAATTAGACAGGGAAATGGTAATGGAAACACAGCTTGCCCATACAAGTAATACCTTTGTCAGGAATTCTCATGCCCTAGGTCCTCCTCTGAACCTAATGTATAGATATCCTGTCAGACATTATCCTAGGATAATTGTTGGATAGTTGGCACACATTTAGGGTCTAAATGTCTTTCTTGAGCTTTTTAAATTTTCTGAATAGCAAATAATAATGCAAATTTCTAGACACACTATTGTAAAGTAAAATTAAGTCGAATTAGGAAATACAGAACATTTCCTTTGAAGTGGTACTTAGTCTACAAAGTGATCAAGTCAAGTTCAATGTTTGTTGGTGAACTTTAATTGCCATAGTTTGTATGTATTAACTATTGTAACTAATGTTGAGAAGACACCAATAAGTAATTGCATAAATGAAGGTTTCAAACCACTTGAAATACATTCAGATGTGTAGTAGATAAGCAAACTATTTAAATTCATTTTTCTTTCAGTGGTGTGGCCCTTAATGAAGAATCTTTAGGCAAAATCCAGCTCACCGTGCGATATTCCACTGCACGTCACAGCCTGATTGTAATTGTTCACTGCTGCAGGTAATACTTCTGATTGATACAATTGAATTAGTACATAATTTATCAAAAGATAATAAAGGAAAATAAGTGGCTTAAACATGCCCTGCCTGCTGAATGAGAGTGAAATAAATCAAGCAACCAACCAATCTTGCTGGAGGCCTGATTTTGTTTTTAGCAACTATGGAATGAAACATTGGTCACCACACCAGTATGCCATAGTTTTTCAGGAACTGTTTTAATCTGTTGATTAAAGATCGCAGGCTGAAACTTAAGCACACAGCTTATGGGCATTTTCAAAGCAAAAGAGTGTTAGGGCCTGATCTAGTCTTAAAATCAGAAGGTAAGCTATTTTTAAAAATTCTAAACGTTTTTGTATGTATAGTTTTATCGATAGCATCTTTAATGTTATGAATTAGTTGACTTTGCTGCATCATCCTCCTTTTTGGATAACTTCCCTGCCAGTATCTGTTGATAGCTTGTGGTGCAAGAGCAAGTGTGGTATTCAGGTCAAGTTGTATTAAAGGTTGGGAAATAATTGAATTAGGCAGTACACATGTGATTCAGTTACCTAAAAGTCAAGAATCTGTCCTTATTTTTACGTAATACTTGGATATTATTTATTAATTAACAAATTAGGAATTTCAGTGCAACCTAAGAAATTGAGATTTAAAAAGGTAAAAACATTGCCATTGAAGGATGATTTAACATATTTAAGAAGCTTAAAATGATTTTAAGAGGGTCAGTGCAGAGAAACATTTTTCACTGAGATATCCAGAGTAAAGGAGTACAACTTGAAAAAATATAGAATAACCAGTTAGGAGTTAAATCAAATTCAAACGAAGATTAATGAATTTCTAGAACCCTTTCCCAAAAAGGCTGGATGAGTTGATTCACTTGAAATATTCAAGACCTGATATTTATAGGTTTTTTTTTTAAAAGATATGGATATTTATAAAGATATATGGATCAAAGGCAGGCTGCTTGGGTACAGGCACACTCCTGCCATAGAAAAGCAGAATACAAGTAAAAGGTTTTTACAAAAGATACATTGCCCAACATATGTTCTGGGTTAACAAGGTGTAGAGCTGGATGAACACAGCAGACCAAGCAGCATCAGAGGAGCAGGAAGGCTGACGTTTCGGGGTACCCAGGCTCGAATCCCGCCATGGCAGGTGGCGAAATTTGAATTCAATGAAGTATCTGGAATTAAGAATCTAATGATGACCATGAATCCGTTGTCGATTGTTGGAAAAACCTATCTGGTTCACTAATGTCCTTTAGGGAAGGAAACTGCCGTCCTTTAGGGAAGGAAACTGCCATCCTTACCTGGTCTGGCCTACATGTGACTCCAGACCCACAGCAATGTGATTGACTCTGACTCTGAACTGCCCTCTGGGCAATTAGGGATGGGCAATAAATGCTGCCTGGTCAGCGACGCCCTCATCCCATTATAAATAAAGGATATTTGTAAAGCCTGAAACTATATAAGATATTTTTTATGGTGTTAGTGTAATACATAAGTTTTTATATTCACTAAAGATAACTGGAATTGTGTGCACCATTTAATTTAATTTGAATGGGCTTGATATTTGTACTGCAGAAGCCTGATATCCTGTTCAAATGATGGATCAGATCCATATGTACGGCTTTACCTTCTTCCTGACAAAAGCTGGTCAGGCCGGAGAAGAACACATGTCAAAAAGAAGACTGTGGATCCACAATACGATGAAAAGTAAGTATACGTATAGGCAAAAGTATACTGTGTATCTGCTTCATAACCCATGGAATTAAGCAGACATGCGTGCTTAAGTGGCATGAAATTTTGTTCTGATTGACAGTAAATTTTGAATACCTAAACACTGAATCATTTGAAACTAATTTTGGGTTTATGACTAATTCTACAATCAATTTGCAAGGCTATTATCTTTTAAAAGGCTGCCAAGTTACATTTCCATGATAGCAACAAGAGTCCCAGTTTTCCATCCTGTATTTGATCCAGATGGAGAGGACATGACTGATTGGAGAGTATGTAGAATGTATCCAGGATTCTCAGCATGTATATGCTTAATATATGTTGTTTTTTTATTTAAATCAGTACTGATTGTAGTTTCATTTGCACCTCTCTTTCAGATTTGAGTTTACAGTTTCAATAGATGACATTCCAAAACGAAAATTAGATATTGCTGTAAAGAACAACCGGTCATTTGGATCCCATGAGAGGAAAGAACTTGGAAAGGTAAGTGATCTCTAGATATCATGATTGCACAAAATATGATTTAATATATTCAGGTTCTTAGCATTCCATGAACAGTTGTTTATTGCTAAGAACATATACATGGTTTAGAAACTGCAGAACGATCAGTATTTCACACCTACTACAAATCAAATTTAGTTAACGAGTTAATAAATGCCTATAGAATAATTTTGTGCATAATTTTGCTTTCATTGTCCAACTTAATCGCATCAGATTTGACGTAGCAAAAACTAAATTACATAGGAAATTTTCAATACATCACTCAAATTTCTTCTGTATGAACGTACTTTGTATCAAAGGTAGAAAGTTACATTAGATGGTTTCATGGATTGAACAACCCTGAGGAATCCTGTGCAGATGGTTATTTTTCACTTGAGAGCTGGATTTTCATGCCTTTGTCCATTCTAGAACAAATTATAGGAATCTACCCTCATTCCTGTTCCTGGCTTATAAAGCCATCAGGTATTCACCACTTCCTTTTTATTGGGGGGGGCAAGGGGGAAATATATTCAACACACCCTAAGTTCTAATAAATTGAGTCAGGCCATCCATCCACTGGCCTTGTCATCCACCCACGTCCATTGTCACCTTGACAGGTGCTGGGCTAGACCTCCGCGTACACCCAAATCCTTGAGACCAAAAACTGGGTGAATGGGCTCACGTTGGAAGTCAGGCTTGCAGTCACTTCCTGAACCGAAGATGAAAATCTTGCTAAGTGTCTGAATTGAGAGAAGTATGCTGCTTACAGCAAAGCCTGATGCCTCTCTCCACTTGCTATTATGGGCAAGAATCACTGAACAGTGAACAGAAGTTGGAACGCATGCTGTACCCCTGCTCCAGCTCACCTCTAAGGACAGACATTGCAGCACCCTCCACATACACTGGCAGAATTCTGAATCAGACTAGTGTCTCGTAGTTGTCCACTCTCTGCTGCATTTAGCCATTGCAAGATTGTTTGCTATGTGACTCATTATTTTTCCTTTAATTGTTGAAACTTTACTGCAAAAATATTCATGCGTAGATTCTTCTATCCAAGGTAACCTCAGTATTGGGATTTTTTTTTAAATCCATGTTTCTGTAGCATTTGATTTTCAGTGTAAATCAACCATAGATAAAATCTAATTGGAGATTATAGTCTAATTTATTTTGTGTTTTTTTAAGGTTTTGATTGACATCCCAAATGATAAATTAACCCCAGGTTTTACACAATGGTAAGATGTATTCCTTATTTGTGTCTAAATATTTAAGTAATCATCAAGATTTTTTGTTATACAATTGTTTAAAAGAAAAAACAAACTAAAATATTTTACAAAAACTTTTAAACTCAAGTATTACTTCAATGACCTCTTAAAGTATTTCCAAATCACCATATTGCCTGTTCTTCATCCCCTCCTGCCACAATGGTGTAAATTACTATATAGCCAATTTTGCTTTTTATTGTCTGTCTTTAGTTGATTTAGAAGAAATACAAGAACAATCCAAATATCAGTTTCACTTGTGTAATTAAACTAAGGACTGCAGATTACGGAGAGTTTATTCTGAAATTCACAACAGTCAACTGCTTTTTCATTTAGTCCTAAAATATAAACCTGATTTCTTACTAATCTTGTGCAATTGAAATGAACGTACAAGAACATTGTGATTCAGATCTGTTTATCATGCAATTAGATCCCTTTTTCTTAATTTCCTGGAATCAATACTAGTAAATGAGTTAAGTAACCTGGTTGGGCTAGACGTGTGGGGAAGAAGAGTTCAAAATTTACATCACCAATTTTGTGAAACATCCAATAGTGTCTTCAGTGTAGTGCACAATAATTTAAAATTAAATGGTTCTGAATTCTGCAGTTGCCAATTAATATGTCCATTCTGACATTAACTAACTACAATTTTGAACGGGGGAAATATTGAAGTGAGTACTCGATGAGTGTGGCTTTAACAAACATCTTTCTGATTAATGTGTCAGATTAAAAATGTACTTGCAATGTTCAATGTGGAAAATTTGTTTGTTTCCTGTAATATCTTACTGATTTTCCTTTTGTCATCTTCATAGGTATAAACTGACCAATGATGGATTGCCAAGCAAAGTGACAGAAAACCTTTAATGCTATTAATCCAGAAGCTCATTTGATATTCAGTGGTTTTGTTTGGTGGAAGATCTGTGTATTTTCATGTTAAATCGCTGAATGTGCATTCTGTTAAGACTTGATGACCACATTGCAAGAAACAGAATTGTGTATATGCCTAAATTTCTTAACTACATGTCCAAAAAGGTCAATTCTTTAACTAAGCCAGGTGCTGTAATCACTGCTATATTCAAATGAAGTAGCTACAGCTTTATGGATATAGCACTACAGAGAAGCAGTACACTATTCACCCTCCAGCCCCCAGGGACGATCTCCCTAGTCAGTTGTATTTATAGGTTAATAGAAATGTAATTCAAATTGTCCTGCACTTTAAATCCTCAACAACCTTGTCCAAGATCAACAGTAAAGTCTTGCAAATTTCATTAAACCAGGGCCAAAGCCTTCTGAAGGAAAAAAAAATCTACATTCCCACTTCCAGTCCTGAATTTAGAGATTTGATAGTGTTTTTGGTAGTCCACTATAAGATCCTTTTTTTGTAGAATCTAAAGTAAATCACTACATACCTGAAGCTTATACAATTTGAGGTTAAGCAACCTATCCTCAGTTTAGCCCTTCAAAACACCAATATTATTGGTTTTAGAGAAAGTACAGTGATCATTTGTGGTGTAAAGCCTGAAATGATATACAGTATTCAAGCTGGGGTCCAATCAAGGCTGTTGGTTGTGTGGGGCGGTTGGTGGAAATCCTTAGCTAATTGATGTTACAAATGAGTTGATTGGCAAAAAGGGATGTAGATCAAAGCCAAATAATGGAGCTGAAGTACAGATCAGTAAGACCCAACTGAATAGTAGAATAGGGTCAGGGGACTGAATAATCACAAGATGCAGCAGCAGGAGTAAACCTTGTGAACCTGCTCCACAATCTTTAAATATAACCGTGGTCAATCTTGGGCATTTCCTGTGAGTAGCCTGTCCGGTGTTTTATCCCATTTAAAATAACGGGATTTTAAAAACATTTACTGCGTGGTTTCTAAAATCTCATGAACTTTACCAATGTGTACGTGGACTCAGATCCTTCTTTCTCCCTCTAGTTTCCCATCTCTCAATCTTTAAGGAAATATCTGATAGCTTATGTGCCATAACAATCTCATCTTGGCTTTCATACCCATTTGTGTTGAACTCACTGAACTGAGAGAAATTGACAGTAGCAAACATTTTCTTTAATTTTCTGAATGAACAATGTTAAAAATCTCATTCCTGATGTCAGCTTATACACTAGATAAAGTTGATTTGTACTAGTACTCTGGGTGCATGCATTAATTGATTATTTCCCCACATCCTATTTAACTTGTTTTGCTACTAATTTAGTAAGATTTTAATTTTTACATACGTTTCCTGGCTTGAAAAACCAACTTTGTACAAGGTACTTTTACTAATGGAGCTGGAATTGTCTGGTAACCAAATAGTGAGTTATGGAAAATAATGTAAGAATTGGTCAAATATTGCCAGTTAACACTTGTATTAAGGAAAACAGGTCTATTTTTATCAAAGTGTTTACATTTGTAAATATGTTATTTGATGTTGGTTAGAGTATGCTGCTTTAAAGAATATGCTCATGACTGAGCATGGCCACTGAATTATAATTTGCTATTTATTAGCTGCTGTAAATAAACTGATTTCATATAAACAACTATGTTTACTTGATCCGGTTCCTGGCACTAAATAAATGTAACAAACAAAAACCTGACTTTCTAGTGATTAGTCACTAAAATGTAATCAACCTACAAAGCTTGATATTCCAAGCCATTAGTTACTGTTCAAAGGTTCAATTATCAGATTCTACAGCCATGTTAGTGACATAACCCATTCAAATTTTCTGTGGCTAATCCAGGGAGCTTACTCATTCTTTGCACATGGAGACAGTCAGTGAAAACTGTCCCTAAGAAAAGTTTCAGCAGGCAAGGTAAATAAGGTCTGAAATTGGATTGTTAGATGGATGGAAGGGGTACAGTTCATACTGCTTCTTCCATAAGATCTTATCACATATTAATCAAGAAGTACTTGCTTTAAGATTTGCATCTCTGCAGAATTTTTGATATTTCCTACAGTTTGGTGGAATAAAGAGACCCAGTTGTGAAGTCTTATTGCTCACAATCAGGTATGAACATTTCATACATGAAGTAAAGTTAAGTAAATGACTGGCAAAGAGAATGTTTCACAAACCTGATTAAATTTATTTTACCAAGTATGTCCAAAAATAGAAAAAAATGTACAGTCTTATAACATATTGTAAAACTGAAGACTTGAGTGGCTTCCATTAGAGATGCTTATTATGCTGAGCTTTATTTTATCTGGTTTTCAGCTTGAGTGCAGAGACTGCTGGTAAAACATGATCCATACTGTCTACCTCTGAAACAAAAGAAGCATGGCACAAATTTGAATAGGCAACAGTGTTAAGTCCAAATAATGCTTAAAATGTCAATGTAATTTTCTAACTTTTTAGGATTTCCTATGATAAATACAGGGTTACAACACAGACGTTAGCCACTCTGGATTTGAATCTCATACAAAAACCTACATTTGACTGGAATTGGTAAAATATGAGTAGTTCTTACCCAATATCTGAAGCAAGTCCTTAAAAACAGTGTAGAATACTGGAAAGAATTCTTCATGTTCTTCCAATTTAGTGATTATGCTTTAAAAGAAGTAGTAAAATAAAATGTCTTTCAAAGCACTAAATATGCTTAAGTACTGCACATTCACTCCCAGGGGATTGTATATCTTATGTCATCTGATGTTCATTTGATTATGGACAGTGAAAAACCAATCCTCCTGGTCCTTTTACATAGCAATGTGCAACCAATCAATAATACAACAATGTCCTTTGTACTGCTTCCAGCAAATTCTTTCAAGAACACAATAACATTGGTCTAGGCTGGTAGCATGTAGTTTGGCATTTCCAAAATGTTAAATGCTATCAATTACTGGAAGTTGGAATGCTGGTGACAAAAACCATTCCACCATGTTTAAAAGAATTGGCATTAGCTTTGGCTCAGTGGTGTTACTCCTGTATCGGTCAACAGATAATGTAGGCTTAATCGTCAACAGTACTTTAAAAGGGGGGAAAAAAACCTCAACAGGGATTTTTGCAGATGAAATTACTACCAAAATATAAACTTGCAGAAATTAAAATGTTTACAATGCCAACAGCGAATCAATTTATTTTCAAAGATTCTACAATGAGAAGCTATGTAGATTACGTAGGGCAGCACAGTGACTAGCACTGCTGTCTTACAGCGCCAGGGACCCGGGTTCGATTCCAACCTCTGGTGACTGCGTGGGTTTCCTCTGGGTGCTCCGGTTTCCTCCCACAGATGTGCAGACTAGGTGGATTAACCATGCTAAATTGCCCAGGGATGTGTAGATTAGGTGGGTTATAGAGGGATGGGTCTGGGTGAGATGCTCTGAGCGTCGGTGTGGACTTGTTGGGCCGAAGGGCCTGCTTCCACACTGCAGGGATTCTATGATTCTATAAATGTTAAACCATATACAAGTGTTAACTGATGACAAAAACATTACCTGTCTACATCCTGAGTGTCCAGAAGTCGCTGCACTTGCCTGTAGGTGTCAGCATTGACAAGAGAACACAGTTTTCCAATCATATTTACTAACACACTAGGTGGTGTGGTTTCAGCTGGAAAGTAGTTGGAAGTTTTCAAAGTTATACTATTGCAAGAAAATAAAATGTTAAAATTACTTAAATAAGATTAAACTAAAGTTTAGATAGCTATCATTTAATTTGTACTAAGTTTACATTTTTTTCTTTATTCACTAATGAGATGAGGGCGTCGCTGGCTAGATAGCATTTATTGCCTATCATCAATTGCCCAGAGGGCAGCTGAAAGTCAACCACTGTGCTGTAGGTCTGGAGTCATACGTAGGCCAGATCCAGTAACGATGGCAGATTTCCTTCCCTAAAGGACATTATTGAACTAGGTGGGTTTTTCCAAAATGGATTCACGGTCATTATTAGATTCTTAATTCCACCATCTGCCATGGTAGGATTTGAACCTAGGTCCAGAATGTTATCTGGGTCTCTTGGATCAACGCTCTAGCGATAATCCCACTAGGCCATTACCTCCCCTAACATTATTACATTTAATTTTATATCATAATGAGACCCATAAAAAGTACATAAATTAAGTTTCTTACCCAACCCTAAAACTTGTCGGAGATTTTTCATAGCATTGTTCATCTCACCAAGTTTACAATATACTTCATTCATTCTAGGATAGATTCCACTGAGAGAACTCACATCAAACAGTTTTTGGAAATGAGATACAATAGCCTCCAGTGTTTGCGGTGAAGCACTCTTACATCCCTAGAAATGTAAACAATTGGTTTATCCTTATCCCTCATTATTTCACAAAGGTGATAATAAATTATTAGCAATATGATTTTATCAATGTCTCAGCAAACAAGACTTGTCGTATAACGCCTAAATCAATTACTAGATTAAAAATTTTTAACACAAATATCCTATTGGCAAAACAGTTGGAGAAATGCATACATATAAAGTCTCCAGAAGTCAAAGAAGCACAAGCATTAATGATTACTCAGCCCTGATCCGGAGGTCAAATTGCTGCACCCATTGGAGTCATTTATAGAAATAAAAAATTACAACAGAAAGGCAGACTCATTTTCTACCTACCTCAACATACTTTCCTGTAATTTCTTGTCTCTTATAGAATTAGCTAGTATAGTTACTAAAACAAAATTGAGTTCTTATGATCACAATTTTAAATGGCTGGCAAGTTTCAACTAATTCTAAATGCCCACCCACCAGGATGAGAGTGCGCATGCTTGTCCCAAGGTACTATATTTTGAAGAAAGTCATGCAAAAGCAGTTACTCTCCTGCACTGTTTTCATAGAAGCATGTTAAAAGCATTATGCAAATAGGTAAACAGATTTACATGGCAAAAAAAAATAAACAGGTAACTGATGATTGAATAGATAGATCCAAGAGAGAGATTTCTACATTTTAGAGGAAAGGGATAGACACAAGTTCGTAGATTTTAAAGGCATCAAGGACATGGGGAGAAAGTGGGAATATTGCATTGAGAATCAACCATCTTAGTGAATGCGGAACAAGAAAATAGCGGCAATATTACTTGAACTGTAGCTATTAGTGAGGTGTTTGCCAAAGCCGGTATAAAATTTAGGTTAAACCTCAGGTTAAACCACCAATTGTCTCTCTAATGAGAGTGTAGTCTATGGTCTTGTAGGACTATGGAGACTAAAATATTTAAATCAGTAAGATCTGGCCTTTTGGCAGTTTTTCCATCCTTAATTGATCATTACAGATCAATTCTGCACAATAACAAGTGAAAAGGTTGGTGAAGTTTAGAATTAACATTTTGAAGTGGTTGAAGGATGGCAGTAAGTAACGTGTTTTTTTCTAATCAAACATTCTACCTGTCTGGACTCCGCAGAATCTTGGAACTGAAGTCAGTTTCTGCTACAATGTTGAGTGCCTAATAGAGATCCAAGTCACATTTATACTGCTTTAAATGAACATTATTGATCTAATTGGTTGACAAAAATACTCCACGTATTTCCTTGATTTATGCAACATGTTCTACCCATTGTCAGTCTCTACACCCCACAAGGATTTTTTTTTTTAAAAAAAAAACATGTAAATAGTCTGGAGTAAAAGGAGAAGTGTATGAAATTTTATTCTGAAATTTACCTTCTGTAGTCTGGAATGAGCTGCTGTGAACCAAGACCTCTCACAAACCACAGGTAGAAGATAATTTACATCAGTGACTCCCAATTCTTTGCAAATATTCTTGAGAAAGGAAACAAAACTGGATGATAAAACATAATAAACATAGTCCCTTAAGCATTATATAAATAAATGGGCATCAACTTTCTTTGGGTTTAAGAGTGAATAGAAACATAGTAACAGATGTAGGTCATTCAGCACTTTAAGCTTACTTCAAGACACAGCTGATCACCTAACTCAATACCACCTGCCCACATCTTACATATTACTTCATGTCATTAGTATCCAAAATTCTATTGACTTCTGTCTTGAACATGCTCAATGATTGAGCTTAAGCAGCCCCTCTGAAGTACAGAATTTCAAAGATTTACTGGTCGGAGTGCTGAAATTCCTCATCTCTATCCGAAATGGCCTACTCTTTCCTCTGCGATTGTGTGCTTTCGTTATATAGTCACGCCAGGTCAAACCTCTGAGGATATGGGTTCGTATCATAACTGATAACTGCCGCATGCCATTTTTTATTTAAAAAAAGACTATTTGGTTCACTAATGTTCTTCAGAAAAAGAAATCTGCTATTTTTACTTGGTCTCCTCTGCACGTGACTCCAGACCTACAGCAATATGATTGATGGAACTAACGTCTGTGGAAAGTAGGGATGGGCAATAAATGCTGGCACAATCAACAATGACCACGTCCTATGAACAAATGTACTAAAACATGTTTCAATGAGACTATCCCTCATTTTTCAAAACTCTAGAGAAAATACAGACAGTCTCCTCAATCTTTCCTCCAAACATAATCCAGCCATCTCTGGAGTTAACTCGTCCATGCCAATTAGATATCCTAAATAAATCTGGTCCCATTTGGCCCACATCCCTCTAAAGCTTTCTTATTTATGTGCCCATCTAGATGCTTTTTAAATGTTGTCATTCCATACATGCACCACCCTCTGCATGAAAAAGTTGCCCCTTCGATCTCTTAAATCTTTCCCCTCTCACCTTAAACCAATGCCCTCTAGTTTTGAGCTCCCCCACCCTAAGGAAAAGACCTTGGCTATCCACTCTTTCCATGCCCCTCATGATTTTATAAACCTCTATAAAAGGTCACTCCCTCAGCCTCTGAGGCTCCAGGGTATTCAGCCTCTCCCTATAGCTCAAACCTTCCAACCCTGGCAACATCCCTGTAAATACTTTCCGAACCCTTTCAAGTTTCACAACATCTTTCTACAGCAGGGAGACCAGAATTGCATGAGCATTCTAAAAGCAGCCTAACCAATGTCCTGTACAGCCAAAATGTGACCTCCCAACTCCTATACTCAATGCACTGACTAATAAAGGCAAGCATACCAAACACCTCCTTCACTATCTTGTCTACTTGTGACTCCACGTTCAAGGAACTACGAACCAAGGTCTCTTTGTTCGGCAACACTCCCCAGGACCTTACCATTAAGCGCAAGTCCTGTCCTGATTTACCTTTCAAAATGCAACACCTCACATTTATCTAAATTAAACTCCATCTGCCAATCCTTGGTCTATTCCCATTGTACTCTGAGGTAACCTTCTTTCCTGTCCACTGCACCACCTATTTTGGTGTCATCTGCAAACTTACTAACCATGCTCCTATGTTCAAATCCAGATCATTTATGTAAATTAAGAAAAGCAATGGACCCAGCATGTGGCATGATCCATGTGGCACACCAATGGTCACAGGCCTCCAGTCTGAAAAGTAAGCCTCCACCACCCCACTCTGTCTTCTACCTTCAAACCAGTTCTGCATCCCAACAGCTAGTTCTCCCTCTATTCCATGTGATCTAACCTTGCTAACCAGTCTACCATGAAGAAACTTGTTGAACACCTTACTCAAGTCCATATAGATCACATCCACCGCCCTGCCCTCAATCCTCTTTGTTACTTCTTCCAAAAAAAAAACTCAATCAAGTTCGTGAGACACAATTTCCACGCATAAAGCCATGTTGACTATCCTTAATTAGGTCTTGCCTATCCAAATACATTTAAATCCTGTCCCTCAGGATTCCCTCCAACAACTTGCCCACCATTAATGTCAGGCTCACTGGTCTATAGTGCCCTGGCTTTTCCTTACCACCTTTCTTAAATAGTGGCACATTAGCCAGCCTCCAGTTTTCTGGCACCCCGCCCGTCACTATTGATGATATCTCAGACAGCACCCAGCAATCTCTTCCTTAGCTTCCCACAGAGTTCTAGGGTACACCTGATCTGGTCCCAGGGATTTATCCACCTTTATGCGTTTTAAGATGTCCAGAACCACCACCTTTGTAATATGGACAATTTTCCAAGATATTGCTATTTATTTCCCCATATTCTCTATCTTCCATATTCTTCTCCACAGTAAACACCGATGTAAAATACTTATTCAGTGTTTCCAGACTGTCAGATTCAAGTCTAGTGCTGTGGACTTAGCACTAGAATAGTAACAGTCTGCCATCCCAAGAATGATCCGTTTATCCCTATTCTCTGCTTTGTCTGTTAATCAATGCCAGGTGCACTTCAGTAAAAGGTTGCTTCGTTATCCAGGTCTGAAGTACAAAAGGACACAGCCAATCCACTGGATCACCCCGACCTTTCTTCTGCCACATGATTTAGCAATATAATATCCATTCTATAACAGAGGTGTTTTAGGAAGCCAGTAATAACAACAATTGTATATAGTGGGTCTAATACTGAGTAAATCACACCCCACACCTTTTTTTAGACAAAGAGGTAGTAATATTGACTTCTACATTGCTAAAAATAAAAAAAAGTGTCATATCCATCATCTCCAACACAGAATAAAAATAGTAAATTCATTTTTTTTTTTCTTCATTCCAAGGAGCTTCCATTTCACAAAGTTTTCAGGCAGCAGATAACAACTGTAATATCAAAAGGGTTAGTGGAAGAAACAGTGTCCTATAACTCATGGCCTTTTAGTTTTGACTTAACGTGTTCTAAGTTATAGCTGTTGCACTGGAAATTAAGAAAATTAAGAAGGTCAATTTTTATTTTGCATGTGACAGCCTAAATTTTACAGATTCAGAAACAGCATGAATTCAGCAAACATCAATGGGAGAAATACCTGAGGCAACACTTGACATGAGACAGTGCTCAACTGGCAGAAGAAAGGGTCATCAGAGATAACATCAAAGGCTCTGAAACCAAGATTTCAGATGGAGAAGAAATTTTATTCTATACAGTAGAAAGCAAGAATGACTTGCTAATATCATGACATGAATCAACCATGTAGTTAAATTTAAGGCACTTCAGACACTGAATACTAATAAAGAACAAATACACCCCAATACCTCGAGTAATCTTTTACAGGCAGCTTCCTGCATGGAATCTACAGCTTCAACCTTAGCACTGATAAATTCTTCTTCATTCTCAGCGTGACAGCTGCTACCTGTGAAACTAAATCCCAAACATTATAAATAAAACATCCTTGATGGTTTAAACAAAAAATGGGCTTCAATCATAAGAAAATAATCTCAGAAAATGATGAAATACAAAGAGGTATCTCAGCAAAGCAGCATTTTCAGACAGAGTCTGCATCATAACTGAAAAATATTAATACTCTTCAATTGGCATGAATAAACAAAGTAAACGAGTGAGGGATTGGGAAGAAAGAAAACCAGGCCAAGAAAATGTTTGTCCCACCCACCACTTACTCAAAACGTTTTTCACTTTTCCCAATTCTGATGAAATGTCCTTAACCTGAAAGATTATTTCTACTTGTTTCTCCATGGATAGCGCCTGACCTGCTGAGAGTTTCCAGCATTTTGTTTTCATCTCCAATTTCTAGTATCTGCCATATTTAACTTCAAGAAAAGAATCAAGTATCCTACTGTAAAGCAACTAATAAATTCAGAACTCTCAATCTTACAGTAAAAATAACAGTAAGGCTTTTAGTACTTGTCAAAATTAAAGTGTAAATTGACAGCAACCACAGATGCATAGTTGAACATAGAAAACAGGAAGCTGGTGCCTTCAGTTGCCTACTCCTCAGGAACCTTCACCAAACCATTATCTTATTGAGAGACTCGGCATTGAAAATATGCAACAGTGTGATGTTGCTCTACTTGATAGATATTCATTGAAATTTCCAGAAATGATTCTGATTTGTTAATACCAATAAAGTGCCACTTTACAAAAAAAAACACAAGTCCTAATTATAGCTAATCACTCTGCAGCACCAAAAAAAATTACCTTTTCAGGTAACTAGTTCCATGCCTTTATATTTTAATTATTTTTTGGAGATCTTATGATTAAAAAATGAAATGTAAAACTATTTACCCCTCACTATGTCTTCTTCATTCTAAAGGGACGGTGCACATTGAAAAATTGCATTTCACAAATAGGAGTTGCATTACAAATTGTGCTTTGGCTAAATTAGAATGCATATTTTTAAAAATTATATGCTTATTCTTTCCATTACATTGAACGAAGTAGGGAATATACTTTACACAATACATCGTAAATCAGTTTATAAAGATAATTTGTCACATTCATTCATGTTAACCAAGTCATATTGTATAACTTGTGCTCTGGGCTCACTGAAGACCTAATTATTTACCTCATGAAGACAGAGAGAGAGAGAGAGAGAGAGAGAATATATTTATTAACCTCGAGTAGCTCAAAGGTGTTTACTCATATAGCTGCTGTTGTACTACAAATTTGTAATGTGCTATAAAGATTGACTTGGTTGCTCCTTCAAGCCAGATGATGGAAACATATTAAATTCATTTTGGAACTTCATAAATTGCAAACAAAGTAGTGATGGATAATATAGAGCAAGTAAAAAATGATCAGATAAAGGATAGTCTTCTTTAAATTTAATATTACTAGTTGTAACAATTGAATAAAACTTTAATTTGATGTGGTGGGTGAACGAATGAACAATACAATTTTCCGGTGGCTCAGTCAAACATAAAAGAAGTTTTATAAAGCTAGTCACCATATACCAGTATTAAAATATAGCATGGCAAAATGTAAATGAGGGCCTTTTCAGTTTAAATAATGAAGAAAAATGTTTAACTGTTGAACTACTATAAAGAAAATCATGAATGAACTAAAATATATTTGTAAGGATTTAAGTATGAATTGGATGTGTGATTAGTTGTCACTGGCAAATTGTGGAATTAAAAGCAATGAAGCAGAATTTTTGAATAAAATTACACAACATTTTCTCAGTCATTACATACATTATCAATGAGGAAAGATAGTTCAGTTTTTTCACCTTTCAATGACTTGAAAATTTTGATTTTTCTTAAAAGTTTGATGATTTCTGTAGCTTGTTCCTTTTAAATGGTCTTCACAGGCCTAAAAGAAAAAAAAATTACTTTGTTTTAAAACAAAAAAGATAGGAAAATAGTAAGATATTTTGCCCGTTCACTTATCCTATTCAAGTTGACATGAACTGATATGCAGACCATTTTATCCAAGTTACTCCCCCAGTTGAGTTAATCTATTCCCTTTTGCATTGTTTGACAATCAACTGCCCCTGTGCCCTTGCCTGGTCACCCCTAAGTTTTTCAAATGTTTAGCTGATAATTTCATAAGATTACATTTGGGCCTTTGAGTTTTGTTTTTCTAGTTTTGCACAAAATCCTTCAAAGTTTCCATCACTGTGCCCCCACAGTTCGCTTTCTTATGGTGAAATAAGAATTGTTTCAATTTTCAGTTATAAATTAATAAGTTTGAGTTCTACTTAACTGTCTTCAAAAGAAGGATATTACAGGTACTCCTGATAGAGTAAATAAGGGAAAATTCTTCTGGTAAACAGAGGAATTTAGTGTGTTTAGAAAAGGAACCAGAACCAACATGAATAAACATTTTCTTTTAACACAGCAAATTACTGATCTAGAATACATTACCTGAAAGGGTGATCAATGCAGATTTATGAGTAGCATTCCAAGCAAACTGTAAAATGATATAAGGCTATTAAGTAGCTGTGTGGTGATGTGGGGATTCCGGGGTGGGGGTGGTGTGGGGTGATGGGGTGTGGGAGGAAAAAGAAAAAAAAAAAGAGGGGGGGTCAGGAAGAAGAGGCAAAAAAAAAAAAGTGTTAAGGAGAAGGCCGAATATAAATTAGAAAGTTCTACAAAACCAGGTCAGCATGAGCATGATGTGTCAAATAGCCTTCTGCGTGAGTTTTCCCAATGTTCTAAAGGTATCTTTTTGCATCCAGTAGGTGGCAGTTGGGAGGTACAACAAAGGAAGATAAATAAACAGGAGGCTGGAAAAACACAGCAAGCCAGGCAGCATCTGGAGAAGAAGTCAACGTTTCAGGTATTATCCTTCTTTAGAGATGGATGAGGGGGGGTAGTGGTAACTGCAGATAAGGTGGGGTTGGTGGCAGGGGAGCTGTAGATAAGGTGGGGTCAGGTTAGCAGAATGGTGGTGATGGGTGGATTATGTTGTCTAGAAGTGAAGTTTGAGAGCCTTTTCTGGTCGCAAGTAAATGAAATTTTTATTTAGATAAATACGAACCTCTACATTTTGGTAAAAAAAAAGAGACAGAGAGAATGAGATGACTGTTTTGGTGAAAAATGCAGCCCATTTGCAGGGATTGGATTTACAGTGATTTAAAGACCAAGGAGATGCCCATTTATGGGAAGTCAGCTCAACGATACAAGAGACTGAGTGAAGGGATTTTGCAAAGGACATTCAAAAACTTGCACTGGTGTATCAAAGAGAAGGGATTTTATTAGAAATCTGGGTGGAGTTTGGGATATAATCCACAAGGGTATATAACTACTGAGAATGTGGTGTGACATACAAATGTAGCATAAAGCATTTTTGATTGTGTTAATGAGAACATACCTTTTATTTATTTTAGTCTGTTAGTTGCAAATTGAGAAACGTTCAATTTTTTGTAGTTTTTGTTACACGGTCTTCAAACGTAAAATTTTGTAATGAAATTTTTCCTTTTATTAATAAACAATGGACATGGTTATCCCTCTCTACAGGGATTGCAGCAATATAAATAGCTAAAGAAATCTGATGTTGGGATTTGAGGAGAATTGTACACTTACATAGTACAATCTAGAATGTGTCAGAAGAAAATAAACAACTTGGCCCAAATGGACTGGATACGGTTAGTTTCAGATAAAATGGCAGAGCAGCAGGTGGCATTCAAGGAGAAAATAGCAAAATAGCAAAGTACAGGGCAAAAAGATAGTAAGAACTGCCGATGCTGGAGGCTGAAATAACACAGAGGAGCAGGAAAGCTGAAGAAGGGTCCCGACTCGAATCGTCAGCTTTCCTGCTCCTCTGATGCTGCCCGGCCTGCTGTGTTCCTCCAGCTCCACCCGTGTTATAAAGTACAGGGCAAATATGTTCTCCTAAGGACAAGGGGTGTGACTAAATCCAAAGAATCCTGGATATAAGGGACACAAAAATTAGGATTAAGTTAAAAGAGAAGTTTAGGGTAGAGTTGCTAGATAAATATGCTAAGTGCAGGGGTGGGAACGAAAGAGAAACTTAAGAGGAAAGAAGGTGCATGAGAAAACAATAATGAGGTGATTAAAGGAAAATCGAAGGGTCGCTTAAATATATAAAGAGCAAGAGAATAACTGGGCAAAAAGTTCAGCCATTAGGCATCACAGGGGCAATTTGATGGTGGACCTGGGAGATGTTGGCAAGGTTCTCGATGAATACTTTGCATTGGTCTTCACAATGGAAAAGTATGATGCCAGTATAGACATCATGATAGAGGGCTGTGAAATATCAGAAGAAATGAAAATAGTGAGGAAGTATTAGCAAATTTAGCAGCCTTAAAAGTGGATAAATCTGCAGACTCCGATTGGATGTATCAAAAGTCATTAAGGAAGGCAAGAAAGAAGATATCAGGGCTCTGGCAGCAATTTTCAAATCCTCTGTGGCCTCCAGTATTTATATATTTACTTGCATCATGATAGAATCCACTATCTGCCAAAAGCTGGAAAGTGTGATTAGTGAAGTCAGATCTTTGTTGACCGATGCAAACATATCTAAAAAGGGAAATATTATTGATGTAACAATAATAGCGACTTTCAAAGGGAATTTGATACATTAGCCAATGACAGGGAAAGAGCCAAGGAATAGGATTAACTCTGTAGCTCCTAACAAGCTCCCAACAATTTCTCCTGATGCAGAAATGATGAGCTGAATAAACTCCTCATGATTCTATGACTCAAATAAAATTGATGTAACAATAATCTCAATTACTTACAGCCAAAACTTCCTTATCCTTCTTGATAACTCTTAAAAACTGGTATCTTGAATGATCAAAATGTACTTTTTAAATAGAATTAACGTAAAGTAACTGTTTGTAAGCATCTAATTAACCCGTACGTTTTGAATCTCAAACGTAATTTATTCAAATCATACCTTTATCAATACCTTGCCTTCTGGGATCTCATCCAGGACTGAATATTTCTGTTTCCTATTGTTTCCTAATTGCTCTTTTCTTTCTCTGGGAATGTCTTCAAATACACTTTTTCGAGTACTATGATAAATAAAAGGACCCATTACAAAACGAAACCAGTAAAGCATCTGGTCATTTCCAATACCACTCAAATACTGTAATTTTAGAGTCAGCCATAGAGCACAGAAATAGGCCCTTTTGTCCACCTTGTCTATGCCGACCAACAAGCACCAAACTACACTAATCCCATTTTCCTGCACTTGGTCCATAGCCTATTGCCGATGGCAATTTAAGTTTTCAACCAGATGCTTCTTAAAATGTTGAGAGAGTACTTGCCACCACCATCTTCTCAGGCAACATATTCCATATTTCCACCATCATCTGGTGAAAAAAAATTCTTCTCAGATATCCTCTAAACCACTTACTCCTTGCCTTAAACATATGCCCTCTGGTCCTAGGCACATCTGCCATGGTCAGAAGTCACAACACCAGGTTATCCACCCCAGTCCAATACCGGCACCTCCACATCATGCCTAACATCTGCTATGGGGAAAAGATTCTCACGATACACTTTGTACATGCCTCAATTTTGTGGACCTCAATTAGATTCCCCCCTCAGCCTCCACTGCTCCAAAGAAAACAAACTCAGTCTGTCCTCATAACTGAGATTTTTCATCCCAAGCCACATCCTGGTAAATCTGCTCTGCATCCTCTCCAGAACAATCACATCCTTCCAATAGTGTGGTGACCAGCACTGCACACAGCATTCCATCTGTAGCCTAATCAAATGTTTTATAAAGTTGTAAAAAGACTTCCATGCTCCTATATTCTACACCCTAGCTAATGAAGCCAAGCATCCCATAAACCTCCTTCACCACCCTGTCTACCTGTGCTGACACCTTCGGGAATCTATGGACTTGTGTATATCCTTCCTTTGTTAGGCCTCCCAAACTGCATCATCTTACTGAAATTCTGCCATTGCTCTGCCCAATTTGCCAGCTGATCAATATCAGACAGAAGCCTGAGACCATCCTCTTCCCCATTTCTGTGTCATCTGCAAACTTACTAATTATACCTCCTATATTGACATCCAAGTTGTTAATATACTTAAACAGCAAGGGTCCCAGCACCAATCCCTGTGATACACTGCTGGTCACAGACTTCTAATCACAAAAACATCACTCCATGATCATCCTTTGTCTCCTATTTGTAAGCTAATTTTGGACTCAGTTTGCCAACTTAACTTGGATCCCAAACGTTCTTAACTTTTGGGCCAGGCTTCCATATGGGACCTTGTCAAAGGCTTTACCTGAGTTCATGTAAAACAAATAAATTGCACTACTCAATATACATAGTCACCTTTTCACAAAACCAATTAAATTATGATAACTACATTATACATTGAAAAGGTACAACAACTCTAAATGGTATAATTAACCTACAAGTTAATTCTCAGTTATAACTGAAAATCAGACTCAGGATAATAGATTGGTAGTTATATTATTTCAGTTTTCACAGAAGTTATCTACTTCACAAACACACTGTAACCTACATTTCATATCATTATCTGTTTTACTGAACATATTATAATTCTGGCCGATTTCTGTCAAAATAGTGAAGACTTGAGACTACAAAACTGAGGACACTTTCTGCGTATGCAAAAGAATTAAAAGTAAGTTATTTTTGAAATCACACACATGTTGGAATTTTATTTCAGCTGGTTCTGTTGTACACAAAAGTGTTATGAACAGAAGTTACACAAAGTAAGTCTTCATTTGTGTACACCCAACAATAGTAACGCAAAACATAGGAAGCAAGCTATAGTCTGGGTTCACATGAGTACTGAATACAAAAAGCAAGACAAAAACACCGTAGATCACTTGGAATGTTGCAAAATCATTTCTTACAATAAAAGGTACTAAGGCCCTGACTGACTTTTCATTATTTTTATTCTTTTATCAATATTGATTTGGAGCTGTGAACTGAGAGAGTGAAAGATGCATTTTGCTCTCTGATTAATAGCTCCTACTGGAAGGAAAACAGACCAAACAGGCTTATTTTATTCTCGAGGCCAGGCCTGAAAGTTGTTAGTTCCTGATTAAAAGGTTCACTAGATGCTTTCTCATAAGGGAAGAGCATTATGTTTAAATAGATAGCAGAGGTTGACTATTAGCAAGGTTAATACCTAGGAATTGATCCATTGTACCTCATTACAATAAGAAGAAAGATGTGCAATCCCTTAGAACAAGCTTTCTGCAGCTCTATTGTTTTGTGGAAGCTACTTTTATGTATTAGCCTCTGGAAAGAAGACCTTAACAACAGGTCAACCAGAAATATTGGAACCAAAAAGAGAATGCCTGACCTACTGTGCTTCCTGTATTATCTTTTTATTTCAGTTCTCCAGCATCTGCAGTATTTTACTGACTTTCAACAGGCTATACAAAATATTTTGCATATAAATTCATGTTTCAGATCATGGCAAACAATGGTTTACTTCAGGAAGCAAAAATGCTGCAGTATGCATGAATAAAAAAGGTATCAGAAAACATAAAACATACATACTCATGGGGTACCATAGGCAATGGAAAATACTGTCAGAGAATAGAGGAGAGAGTGGGGGGTGAGAGACAGCCAGAGACAGCACGGTAAAAGGGTGAGTGGAGCTCCTGCGGCCTCCCTGTTGCCCCTACCTCTGGGTCCTGGGCCCTCTTTTTTGTCCCACAATCCCAGCTACTGCACCTTCTTCCCTCCTCAAACCATGGGGATTTCCCCACATCCAGCATCCCCTCTCACCATCAATGAACTCTATTTCTAAAGTGTGCACCTTCCTTGTGTATGCAGAGTACTACATTTGTCCATGACATCACTTTTAAATCTCACATGGTCACAGTGTGTTTGGAATCATGGGAGTTTCCAAATTAGCACACATGCTTAGTTGCCCATAGATGCAGGTGTCACTAAACAATGCCTGGCCAAAAAAAGTGCAAGGTCCATCACTTTGTTTTTATTTCCACAGAATCAAATATACAAATGCAGCACAGGAAGCCATTTGATCCATCGTGCCAGCATCAATGCTCCAAGTAAACATCTCACTTGGTGCCATTCATCCTGCCTTCTCCCCATAATGCTACAATTTCTTAAATTTTAAACAACAAACTAGTTTCCTTTTTGAATTCCTCTACAGAACCTACCTCCAACACACTCTCCAAGGCAGTACATTCCAGATCCTAACCAGTTATTTGAAAAATTAGTTCCTCATAAGTTTTGCTTTTGATAATTTCTCAAAAATCTATGTCCACTTGCTCTCCATCTAGGATCATTTTCACCTTTAAATTTGTCTATAGGATGTCAGTGTTACTAGTCCTACATTTATAGCCCATCCCACATTGTCTAGTAAGCAGTTAAGTCAACCATATTGCTGTAGCTCTAGAGTTGCAAGTAGGCCAGACCAGGATGGCAGACTGTATTCTCTAAAGGGCATTAGTGAACCATATGAAAGCAAAATACAGTGGATGCTAGAGATCTGAAATTAAAAGAAAAGTGCTGTAGAAACTCAACATGTTTAGCAGCATCTGTGGCCTAATTTGGACTTGAAACATGCACTCTTTCTCTGTCCACAGAGAATCGAGATGCCACCTTACAAATAGGTGTGTGACACAGACATCAACTATATGACATAACCTGGAGAGAACTGAATGATTGGCAAATAACCAATCATTCCAACTGATGTGAAAAAGGATAATATGTTCTACTTCCACCGTGCCAAAAAAACATGTAGCCTTACTTTTTATTTGATGTAGTCTGCGCTCTGGTAGTCAGCTTATTAAACTGTAGGAACAGTTTATTTTGTCGTTCAATGTGCTGTTCTTCCTCAGTCACAATCATGTACAACTTTTTCTTCAATCGCACAATTGTTTTCTCTTTCTCTTGTAAATTTTGGTTCAACTGCTGAAGCTGTATCTGATGGGCAGGTGAAAATGCTCATAATAACATACAAGATGTAAATCACAAAAAAGTATAGCATGGTTTAATTTAGACCCTCTGTGTGTAATGACTAAGCATAAGTTTCAATAATAAATCTGAATTGCAGTAAGTTTAATTGTTGAAGCAAATCCTGTGTCATAGATACATTGAGTTCACAATTAACTATTAATAAAAACAATAACTAAAAATTAGAGGACCAAATTCTAGTTAATTTGTCTACTTCAGTGCAGCTGAAAACTAACTCAAAAAAAATCGCTAAAATGTTAATGTCCCAAATAAAAGAAAAGATCCCAGTCATACTTCATCTTCTGTTTTAAATGGCTCAGAATGTCTGCTGCAACTAATTACATCAAAGGTTTGTTGACGTATGCAGGTGCCTGTAGTAAATTATTTTGTAGACTGCAACGCACCACAAAAAGCAATGAGATGACCAGGACAATGCAGACTCTGGAGTGCGAACGTCTCTGCTGTCCTAAACAGGATGAGGGATATTTTATACACGGCCTTACAAGGTATCACAAATCTTGATTGGCTTGGTCTTCCACAGATTCTTCGGAAGAATCTGGCACTTGTTCAGGAAAGGGGTGGCAGCAAAAGAGCACATGAAGTGGAACTCCATCCAAAGTGTTTCAACTTTTACTGCACTATGTCCCCATAACGAAGATAAAACACATCACATCACCTAAATTTCCCCTGCTGGCAGCGTTAGCATTGCTGTCTCACAGCGCCAGGGACCTGGGTTCGATTCCAGCCTCGGGTGATTGTCTGTGTGGAGTTTGCACATTCTCCCCGTGTCTGCGTGGGTTTCCTCCAGGTGCTCTGGTTTCCTCCCACAGTCCAAAGATGTGCAGGCTAGGTGGTTTGGCCATGCTAAATTGTCCGTAGTGTTCATGGGTGTGTAGATTAGGTGAGTTATAGGAGGATGGGTTTGGGTGGGATGCTCTGAGGGTCGGTGTGGATTTGTTGGGCCAAAGGGCCTGTTTCCACACTGTAGGGATTCTATGATGATCATGATGATGTGGACAGTCTCCAATGATGCCTTGAAAGGGGATTTAAAAAAAAACACCATCTCAGAAGTTAGGCAATGATCCACGTAGCTTCTCCCCACTCTGGAGTCACACAAGATGCAACTTTATTCTTGGGGCAAGTGAGTGGAGTGGAAGCAGTAGTTTGTCAACCACCCTCCTCTTTGTGGTTGGAAAATGGTGACAAATTGGGCCTTCACAAAAAAAAAATTGAACTCTGACCAAATAAAAACCAAAAAGAACTGCAGACACTGTAAATCAGAGACAAAAATGGAAACTGCTGGAAGAGCTCAGCAGGTCCAATGCTGCCAGACGTGCTGAGTTTTTCTAGCAATTTCTATTTTTGCCTCTGAACTCTGACCATCCTGTTAGGGGATGGAAGTGTAAAGGAATCGGATGTCAGTTTTATTGTTGTTTTTTTTTTAAATTGCACTAATCATTGAAATAACTGTTAGAACATTCATGAATAACAGAAATCAAAGTGATCACTCACAGTCCGAGACAAGAATGAGTTTGAAGTCTTAAAACACTAGTTTCCGTCAACTCTGTTACCTGCATATCTTGTTCATCATGCTGCAGTTGCTCAACTTGCTTTTGCAGGCGACAACACTTCACAAAATAGTCACCTTGCATCTCCTGAATTTTCAGTTTAGCAGCATCTTGGAGTTGCTCTGCATTAGATGTACACTGTTCTTTGGAAGACATTTTACTCTGCCATTGGCAAAGCTCATTCCTGTAATGGAAGAAAAAAAATTCAGCTCAAAAAAAATGTAAAAGCACAATAAAATGTGTAAAATTCTGTTTTATTATACCAAGTAAAGAATATAACTGGGTATTCAACTTCCTTTACAAGCCTTAGTAAATCTTAACTAATCTCTAATTAAGGAAAAATAAAAAACAGTTTCATAATGCAGCAAAGCTATGTGCTATCTAAGTTTTATAACAATAAGCCACTTGATATTATTCAATGGAGTATTGCCACACCTTCAAATTGAAAAAAAAATCCACGTTTAAATTCATTCCTTTCTCTCAAGAAGATATAGCACCAGAAGGCAAGATCTCTTCCTCCTCGATCTCAGAAAAAACAATATAGCCAATTTTGTCCCCAGCATTTCAATAAATAGCTAATACGTACATTCCTTCACTCCAACATTAGGATTTCAACATACCACAAGGGGCACATATGATAAAAAGTCATATGTCTACCTGAATTGGATACGTATCCAGAATCTCGACTGTACATTTTTTACTAAGCTTGGGCAGTGTTTTAGTAAAGTTTGGGTTATAGAATATTAGTGTTGAGGTCATAAATTAAACATGTGTGTTGACACATTAAAGCACGTTGATTTTTGTTTTAAAAAGTCCCAACCTGCTTTTTTCCCCCCCCTCAAACAAGCTAGGCTGACACTTCCATGCAGTGACAAAGGTCTGCTGCACAGTTAAATACCACCAGGCACCATGAGAAGTTTAACTGAAGCCTTTACCTGCTTACATGAGTACATTAAAAAGAATCCATTGCAATATATTAAAGTGCAAGCAATTTTGCCCTGATCTTCTATTAGTTATCCCTCCATCAGTATCACTACAGCAGCTAGTCTAATTTTTGTAGCTAACACAGCTTTTCACAAAGCAGGTGCTGCGTTTCCTGCAATGACTACACTCAAAAAGTACTTCATTGCTGCAAAGCATGTTGTGGCAGAGAGTTTGAAAAGCCAGTTGCTCAAAACACATTGTGAAAAGGATTTGAGTTCTTTTTAGAATACAATGTTTCTTTTCCATTGGGTGTAGATTCAGCCTGATAGAGATAATATAGCAGGAGTTCGACAGAGGAAAAGTATTTGTTTTGCTTTGTAGAGTGCAGTGATTACTATGCTGTGTTCATTCAACTCTACACCTTGTTATCTCAGATTCTCCAGCATCAGCAGTTCCTACTATCTCTTGTATAAATGAAAATCTTTTCTCCATGTAACAGGCAAATTTAATCAATTATCATATGACAGGCTGAAGTGCATTACAACATTTTGCTAAACCTTCTGAATAATAACCAAGGACTATCTTTTATTGTTTAGAAATCCAAAAGTTCTGATAGAATCACTGCACTCTACAAAGCAAAACAAATACTTTTCCTCTATCCAACTCATGCTACATTACCTCCATCAGGCTGAATCTACACCCAGTGGAAAAGAAACATAGTATTCTAAAAAGAACTCAAATCATTTTGAGACTATGTACATAAGTGAGAAAATAAGCCCATTGATGGCCTTACAGAAAAGCAATGCTAGCACTCTCAAAGCATCCAGCTGGTTTTTAAAGGAGTTGGGTCTCCACTTTCTCACAATCTGCTGGAGCTGTTGATGATCCTTAGTGTAAATAATACATTAAAATCTGTCCTGGCTCCGAGTTGGGGTCCCCTCCTTCTTATTAAAATGAGATTAGTGAAGTTTAATTTTTACTATTCCTTTGAAAATTTGCAAGTACATAGCATTGCTTAGAACGCTAAAAAGAGAAAGTGGAAGGTTCACTTATCGCACCTCATCTCTAAACCAGAGTCAGTTACAATACTAATCAGTCAATAAGTTGGTTAGAAGTGTAGCAATCAACTGACTACTACCAAAAAATAAAGGGCTTGTTCCTTCTCATAAGATAAGTATATTTAAACTTCTTTTTTACTAGATTAAAAAAAGGAACAAGTTTATGTCTATAATTCATATGCTCTAATAATTAGGTATTAAACTGGAAAACAAGCAGTAATTTAGGTTCAACAGTGGTCTTGGCACTCTACAATTTGTAATCTAGCAGCTCCAAAAGATCTTGTACAAAAATGGCAGTCAATTGTAGTAATTCTCATTCTAATCGTCATCCAAAGTTTCGAAAAATTGTGTACCTGCTAAACATTTACCAGTTAAAACGGATGTAATATTCAAGGTTGGTCTACTCCAAAACCTTAGTGATGTAATGTTTCAAAATGCCACACTTTCACAAAATTATGCTTTATCCATTAATATCAAAGCAAGCATGAACCAGACAATCCACAACTCTGGCTCCTTTTTTCCACTTGTCATGGCCTTAAGGAATTTCCTCCCTAGACATCTCCATTCCATTGTCCTCCTTCACAATGCTACTTAAAACTCACCTTTGTCCAATCTGGTGCTCTTCTTTACAAATGGTGTGATTAATATGGTTTTGTGTTAAATCTTATCTGTTTATGCTCCTACAAAACAGCTTGAGACATTATACTCTGTTACCAATGCTATAAGTTATTGTTTAACAAGCTAGAATGTGACATACGTTCAAACTGAAAAGTTTTAGGGGGAGTAGGTGTGGTGGTAGATATCATGTCCAACATAAAAGCTAGTGGCACTGAACGTGATCAAATGACGTTATATGAATTATTAGGAAGGTGGTTATATAATTAAAAAGAACATTTGCTGAAAACATTCTATTTTATGTAGTTTCGAAATGAGCCTGATGGCATGTGGATAGCAGAGGCCAATTTGTTTTGTTCATTCGTGGAACGTAGACATCACTGGCTGGCCAGTATTTGTTGCCTGTCCCTAGTTGCCCTCTAGACTGTGGTAAATAAAAACCAAAAGAACTGCAGATGCTGTAAATCAGGAACAAAAACAAAGTTGCTGGAAAAGCTCAGCAGGTCTGGCAGCATCTGTGGAGGAGAAAACAGAGTTAACGTTTCGGGTCCGGTGACCCTTCCTCAGACA